ATGCTGTTAGACAGAAGAACAGGTTGCTTGCAACACATCTGATTTGTGTGGTGGTGGAAGTGGGGGAGGGAAGTGTAGAGGGAGTGGGGGGTGGTAAATTCGTGTTTGAGTAAAAAGAGAAAATGAATTGGCTTTATCTCACCAACAGCCATAATAAAATGTTTTGGTTTTTTTTATTCCCAAGAAGATAAGTCTCTCAAGAGACATTATACTTGCAGTATTCTATACAGGTAAGCCACATTTGATCCATTCAGCATAACGGTCTTAGGAATAATGTCACTCACACTCACATCCTTAACGCTAGTGGGTTGGCTAATAGCATCATTATTCAAATCACAGTTTAATATTTCTATTCTATTCATACATATATCTGTATGTATATATGCACATATATATGTCCTTTATATGTTTTTCCACATCAGTGTGTCCTGTCTGCCTTAGAATGTGAGTGCCTATTGAGTATATAGCATCCAATTACGTGAAATGAAACACTGAACCGAGATTTTTGTGAAAAGGGACACAAGGAGGCTAAGGACGACAGAAATGTTAACTCAATTACCTCAAATGAGAATCCGTCCAGTTTTCTCACTTTCAGACTCCAAGTCCTGTTCAAAGTCCCCTTCTTGTACTCACCTCATTTACAACTCCAAGTCTTATAACTGGAACATTTCCTCACCCCTAACCTCCCCAGTGGTTGATTTCCACAATCAAAAACAAATCCTAAAACTTTCATGAAGACTTTCTGGCTTTTTCAGATAAAAAGAGATATCTTCTACCTGTCCCTCTCAATCTAGGATAGAATGTCCCACCTTCTTTCCCTCCAAAATGCAATTCATTAAAAAGGCTGTAGGATATAGATATGGAATTATCAGATTTGATCAATGTGTTGATTTAACTGTTTAACTTTATTATAAGGGAGGTATCTTTTTTCGTATAAAGGAAGTCTCTTCATTTCACTATAAGGGCAGTCTTCTCTTGGGATGAAAAGGGTTATTGGAAAGTGATGAGATGTTTAAAAAAAGCATCAATAAAATATTTTTTAAAAATGAAATGTAATTCAAAATCCTTTTCAGGGATACTTATCAAGTCTATTCACATTTGGTTCTACATCTTTTCAGGACATAGCCAATCTATGTACTGCAATAATTTGTACTCACTTTACTTTCATCTTTTAAAAAATGATTCCTACATTTCTCTAGCTAGACTGTAAACTCCTTGAGGGTGCAGAGGCACATCTTCTTGATTCATTTTCCAGTTCATCTGCCTCTCCTATCCCATCTTTGATACGTAGCACCCTGCATAGCATACAGTCCACCAGAGGTGCTAGCACATGCTGAACCTACATTCCTACAGCTACTCTCCTAATGTGTGCTTCCCCTTCCCTCCGAACCCTAAAATGCACTTACAAACCATTCATGCCTTGGTTTAATGTTCTTGTCTACTATCTCTACATTCTATATATGTGTACTTGAATTAATGTTAGTCTTAGACTATAACTTCCCAAAAAGCAGAAAATAGTCTTATTTATTATTGTCTATAATAACTCATGGTTTTAACTTTCCAATCTCAACTCTGTAGTTAATCAGTTCAATATCATACTTTACTCTTGACTCCCTTACCCTATCTCTACTCATGTGTGGCCAAACCTAAATAACTCCCATAATTCCACCTCCTCTACTCCTACTCTTTTGCTGCTGGAATATCTAATCTCAAATGAGACCTCACAACAGTGAGGAAATAATTTCATTCTTCCTTAACTGATTCTCTATTGTCCTTTCCACAGCCCAGTGTTCCAAACTTTTTTGACTCTCAAGGCTCCCTCACTACTCCATCCTTGCCTCTCACCTGAGGAACTCAGCTCACACTTTCATAAGGAAATACAGCCATTCCCTTTGAGATACCTCTTCTCCACTTCTTAACATTTCAAACCCCAAATATCACGTGCTATTCTATCCTCCTTTGTTACGAACCCTGCTGAAGAAGTAGCCCCTTCTCCTCTCAAAGACCAATAACTTTATACTGCCCCTTGATCCCACTCCCACCAGTCTTCTCTGACAGAATGCCCCCACAATCCCCACTTCCTCTACTCTCTAACCTCTACCTACTTGCTCCTTCCCTGCTGGCTTACAAACATGTTTAGGTCTTAATCGATTCCAGCACCCACGCCCTCCTTTTACAGCCAAAATCTTATCTTCCTTCCACCACTCAATCATTTCTCAACCTTTGAAAACTAGCTTTCAACCTCATTGTTCAACTGAAGGTCTTCAGAAGGCTATAATCTGCTCTTCCCAAAGTCATCAATCATGATTTAACTGTCAAATGTGATGGTCCTTCCTCTTAAATACTCTCTTTTCCTGGATATTTTCTCCTTTCTAACTTCAAGGCGCTGTTTTTGCCTTGTTCACTTACCATGTACCTGATCATTCTTTCTCATTCTCCTTTTTTGGATCTTCACCTATATCACACTCTCTGAGTGTGATCTCAAGACTCTGTCCTGGACCACTTCCTTTTTTCCTCTATATTCTCTCATTCGGTGACTTTTATCAACTTCCATGGGACTAATCACCATCCCAATGTAACTTCCCTGTCTTTCCTAAGCTCCAGTCTCACACCCACATCATGATATATCTATTGGAAATTTTAAACTGGACGTTCTAGATTCCGTCTTAAACTCACTACACCCACAACTGAACTGATCCTTATTCCAAACTTTCCTGTTTCTTAGGAAAGTTTGTTAAGAACACCATCGTCCTTCTAGTCACCCAGATTCGGAACCAGACTCATCTCTTTGACTCATGTCAAGTGCCAGACTATGTTTCTATCTGCACAACACCTCTGCCAATTATCTCTGCCTAGACAGACACCACCCTCACTCAGGCCCTCATCATCTCTCACCTGGACTACAAGAGCCTTCCAACTGGTCTCCCTGCTTTAAGTTTCTCCCCTTTCTAATCCATCCTCCACACAGCTCTGCCTCCTGGTTTCCTTCAAAATTCAAATCTCAACCTTCATAACAGGCTTTTTCTGACCCCTACATCCCTCCTCAACTGCTAATGCCTCTCCTCTGGGATTTCCTCTCCTTCACACTGCATATCTCTTGCATTTACATCATTTTTTTTTACATGTTACCTCCCCCATAAGCTCCTTGACGTCAGGGATCATTTTTTTTTCCTTTTTATGTATTCCCAGCATCTAACATAGGACTTGTACATAATGGACACTTAAATGCTTGTTGACGAGGAGGCCCTTCCTGATCCTCATTAGCCTCTGGTTCCTCCTTTCCGTTCCTGCCAAATTCCCTTGAACTTATTTTGTAGACACTCATTCATGCATATGTTGCCTCATCCAATAGAATTTCAGTTTTTGTAAGGCAGAGACTATCAGGTTTTGGTTCTGTATCTCCAGTTATGGGCATAGGACCATAAATACGTAACTACTACTTGCTGACTGACTGATGCAAACAGAGACTTCATGTATGATGAATTAATTCTCTGACTCCTTCCTCTTTTCCAGAATAAGCACAATGATGAGGCTAACCTTAATGTTAATTCTCTTAGCACAGTAGAGTTTTTTAAAATGGAAGGAGAGATTCCATCTGGGAGTTTTTTCCTTGTATAGGAATATTATTACTGCACTTAACAAGTGTTCACCTGTGTCTAAATTATATCTGGGCTGCCATTTGGACATATATTACATGTTCCAACATTGGTTTATTAATATTTCCTTGGTGGCAAATCAATACACGAAAAGAAATTATGGTTAATGAAATGGATTTAAGAAGAAAATGAGTCTTCTTCATTTAATATGTTATCAATGAAAGAAATGACTGGTAGGAAGAAATTACCTATTTCCCAGCTCTATGTCACATCTCCTTTTGTCTCCTCTCCTATGCTAAACTCTCTATTTCATTCCTCTATAGTTTCAGAGGTAAATTTAAAATAAAATAGAATGAAAATGTCCAAAATAACCCTCTTTCTAAATGATTAAAACCAGGGCTGCTGTTTTCTCACAGTGAATACCATCTTTTGGAAACTGAAGATAGTTAAAATCCAAATGTAGGTAGTCAGAGTCACACTTTTTGTTTATTATGAGAGAAAGGATTAGTTGGGGTCTTAGGGATCATCAGATCTGTCTTTGTGCCTCTAAATATGGTTACATACTCCTGGGTAAGTAGAAAACTCTTTTTCCTCCATGACCTATTCTAAGGGATCTGAATCCTCACATGTAAGAAATTCATAGTGTCTACCCTAAATCTTTCCTACTTGCAATTTATAATTTTCTCTCATGCTCCACCTCCAGGGGAAAAGTCAAACAGATCATCAGAATAGCTTACATTGATTAGTACAACACTTTTTTCACATCTAGTATTTTATCTGATATTCATGACAATCTGGTGAGGTAGACAGGGAAGGTACTATTATCTCTATTTTACAGATAAGGACATAAGGCTCTGAGAGTTTAAACAGCTTAATCATGGTCACATGGCTCCTAAGTGACAGAAGTCAGGCTAGGACTAGGATCTTTGACTTTAAACTATACTTTCTACTATAGTATGCTGCCTCTTATCCTACCACATCTTCCTCTAGTCATACCTTTTTTGGATGGAATAATCAAAACTTTCCCTCAATGTTCTTATTTTCTAACTCTTCTATTTTAATGCAGTCCTTTAAATTTGTTCCCAGTTTGCTGTGTGATCTTGAAAAGTCACAACATCTTTGTGCTTCTGCTGTTTCTTAAGTAAAACAGGTAAAAGATCACCTTCCATTTCTTTGGCTCATGGTACCAATGAGATAATAGCACATACAGATCACAGCACTTTCTGATGGGTTGAGATCTCCTCCTCTGACCCCTCTCATCCCCACACAACTAAGGCCAAAGATAAACCCTGGACTATATGGAATCATTCAATCTAAATCATCCTAAGGGTGGACAAAAAACACTATGTCCCACTTCTTTATCAAAGCAATATTTAATAGATGAAAATAAAAATTGTCACCCACCGCCTCCTCTCCCTGGCTTCTGTGGAGGAGTCTGTCCCAGTAGTTGATAGCACATTGGCAGCTGTAACCCCATTGGCAGTGCTAGGCGGGGGGCGATTGGTGATTACACACAGTGGGGTGCTAGAGGATACACTTTCTGAAGCTTTTTCCACAGATGGATCTGCATGGAGCTTGTAAGGAGTTCTGAAACCAAAGAAAATGAAACACAGAGAACATTTAGGCATCTCTCCCAATAGACCTTTGACAGAGTGTAGAGTGAAGTCAGATTTAACAGCAAAACCTTCCAGCTCCTCTTTAATTCTGAGCTTTTTAAGTTTAAAAGGCTTATCTGCTTGGAAACACTATCACTGTGCCCATGCACATCTACCTCCCCACCTGCCACCCAAGAGGCTGAATTTAATGAAATTCCTTGCCCGAGATTAAAAAACATTAGCTATGGCACAGCCAAGATACTGACTGACATGGGCAATAGTACTTTGCAGGGTTGCTTGCTGCCATCTGGAACCCACACATGCATACACAAGCTGGTTCTGGCCACATATGAAAGGGACACTGAAGTCACTTACAATTCCAGTCTCCATCTACCCCTCGATCAATACCTGGGCAAGGGAATCTTCATGGGAGTCTTGAGCCAAGATATGTCGGTGAGCTCCTTGTATTATCCATATATAAATATTCTGAATATTTACTAAGTCCTTAGCATATTTAATTCTCCCTCTCCTAGCTCCTTCTCTGCATTTGAGCCAATTACCTTGTTGCTTGCATGTAGGTTAGCATAATATATTTCTGATAAAAAAGAAAATCAGAGGGCAAATAATTATTGGCTCAAAAATGGAATTCTAGTAGGATTCTATGTGTAACGTTAACTACAGATTTTGTATCTACAAGATGTATAATTAAAGTTATTTGCACAAGAACAGGATCTTTGTTTCTTAAAGGGATTGGCTCCAACTACAGGCTCTCCTCCCAAAAAGCTATTATTTATGATGTCACAGCTTGTTGCTAGGGTAACAAAACCCCCAAACTGAAAACCACATTTATCAGAGAAGCAATTGGGATACAAAAACTCCTAAATACCAATTTCTACCATAACCTTAATCCAAGGAAAATTTACAAGTGATCATAAGTTCACTGTCAAATATATCACATTGGCAGAATAAGCTTCAAAGAAAAAATTCAGATTAAGAAAAATTGAATACATCTCCAGATCCATCGCAATTATGCAACAAGCATTTATTATGCAACTGTATGCCAAATATCATGCTAGGTATTGGGGGCACAAAGACAAACAACAGAAAAGTCCTCGCCCTCAAGCATTTTACATTCTACTGAGGGAGACAACATATTATACAAAATAAATACAAGGCAAATTTTGGGAGAGGACATTAGCAGCTGCTGGGATCAAGAAAGGCAGAAAACTAGATGCAACTCTATACTCTGAGAGATGCCACAGAAATACCTCCCCGCAAAGGGTGGGTAGCACGGGTCAGTCAGAACAGAGGTGATTTAAGTCAGTGTTGTAAGACCGACATGAGAGGTGAGTCCACAAGAACTAGAACGCTGGGTCCATGCTTTTTTTACCCCCTGTATATATTTAACAAGATCCAGTTGTTCTTCCTGACCTTCATCTTCTAAGGCATCACTGCCATTTTCACAAGCAGTATATCGGGTACTGAGATAATAAGACCCTCTACATAGTGGTTTCACTGCTATTGCTGATGAGAATGTGAGGAAAAGCTTCCCCACAATTAGAACTGTTCCAAAGTGGAATGGGTTCCTTAATGAGGAAGTAGGTCCCCCATCAATGGAGGTCTCCAAGCGGAGGATGGATTCCTTCTTAATATGTAAGTTCTACAAGACGAACTTTGAAGATCCTTCTAATTCAAAGATTCTATAATTCTCTGTGCCCTAATTTTAAAATTGTGATAATTAAAAATCAGATTTAAAAATGACCCAACCCAAAGATGTTGCTTAGGTTTATAATAAATATGTACTAAGTGGAAACAATAAATGCCCTTACGTAAGGCAGCTAGGTGCTTTAGGTAGGTGGTAGAGCATTGGGCCCAGAGTCAAGATTTGAGTTCAAATCCAACCTCAGACATTCACTAGTTATGTGACCCCAACTATAAAATGGGGAAAATAACAGCACCTGCCTCCTAGGGTTGTTGTAAGGATCAAATGAGAAAATATGTATAAAGCACTGAGCACAGTGCCTGACACATAGCAGGCACTTAATAAAATGCTAGTTTCCTTCTCTTCCAATTCAAATCACTCTCCACTGTTGCATTGCTATAAGCGTAAAACTAAATACAAGAGGTAGAATTGCTAAATGTTAGAGTTTTTTCTTTAATTTTGGAGTTTTAACACTAAAAGGAACTAGGAACAACAATTTATGCAAAATAATTATAATTTTAGTTCGAAATAAAATCTTTCACTCTACTATGTTTGTTTTCTTTGCCTTATAGATAAAAAAAATGTGCTCCATCAATTGCCACAGCTTGGTACTTCAAAGTATTCTTAAATTCTGGTCCTTCAAGTGTTAAAAATTATTATTCTTTTTCGAAAGCATATGGATCTTGTATGATCTGAGAGGCAGTACAATATTGAGCGCCTACAGCTCTGGGCCAGAAGTCCCAACTAGCCCCAACTTCAGCAATCTGATCCTGCTCAAGTCCAGTGATTTCTCTGCCCCTCAACGCTCTGGTCTGTCAGATGGGCATGAGAGTACCTGCCTTGCCTCTCTCCAGAGGGTTGCTGGGAGGCTCAAATCAAGCTGTAAAAGACCTTCTAGGTCCCTGAGCCCAAACCCTATCAAATGAGAAAAATGAGGCCCAGAAGTGAAGGGCCTTGCCCACAACCAGTCATCTGAGGTGGGATTCAAACCTCGGTCTTCTTGCCTTTAAGTCCAGCACTTCTGTCCAATCCATCATGACATCTCTCAGAAATAATGAGAGGAAGGAGATGGTCACTCCTGATATTAATAATCATTAGTGATAACATTGCTATTCCTAACAGTAGCAGCAATTTATAATGAAAGAGATCTTGTCTTAAATGACAATCACCTAAATTAGGTAAAGAAATCTCCTGGTGACTTGACAGGTATCAAGTATAGTATAACAAGAAAGTGCTGAACTGGAAGCTGTGACACTCAGGTCCTAGTCAAAAAACCATAGATTAAAAGACGAAGGGACCTCAGAAGTCAGAATCCAGCCCTCTCATTTTACAGGTGATGGGATCTGCCCAAGAACTTGATACAGTAAGTAGCACAGTAAGGCTTTGAACCCAGACCTATAAATTCTAAATTCAATGCTCTTTTTTTTTGTTTGTTTGTTTTTTGGAAAGAGGGAAGAGGAAGCAATCAGTGTTAAGTGACTTGCCCAAGGTCACAAAACTAGTAAGTATCTGAGGCCGGATTTGAAGTTAGGTCCTCCTAACTCCAGGGCCAGTCCTCTATTCACTGCACCACCTAGCTGCCCCTAATTCAATGATCTTTCCATTGCACCACACCGCCTCCTCTTCTGGTTCAACTAACACCTAGTTGTGAGTCTTCATTTCCTCAACTACAAAATATGTGGGCTCTTCAATTATCTTACAACCTAATATCCTATGATCTAAGAACCAGCTTTACTATTGCCCCAATATTAGAGTGACTGCCATCACCATCCTATTTTCTTTCAGTTATTTGTAAAACCTAGGCCCACAAAAAGTAAGTTAACAGCTATACTTCCATAACAAAAGGCATAACTATCATAGCTCTAGTTAAAAGTAACTGCTTGACCTCTTTCCCTACTTTGGAGAGGAGGGGGCCTATAGATGACTAAACACTGAAGATCTTGGAGTGTCTCAGAGGGTTTGTTAATTCTGCTCAACTATTCCACCCCTCATTTTTGTTTTATTATAAGAGATGACTATTATAAGGGAGAGAAAGGAAAGATACATTGGTAAATATCAGTAACATAAAAATCAAAAAGTATCAATAAAAATCTACTTTTTAAAAAAAGTCATTGCTGGACTTTCTCACAGCTATCCTTACCATGCGGCCTGTGGACTTCCCTACAATATCTTGGAATAAACTTCAAATGAATGACAACATCCCCCGTCCCACATTATTGAGCAAGTCATTGTCTCTATCTAGAAAGCAGGAGGCTTTCTGCTACAGGCTGTGTTTCAGAATAAGGTGCCACTTTTCATCCTGACTAGGTTCACATTCTATCTTCCATAAAGACTGAAGAAAAGGGATTCCAACTTTTGTGTATCTGCAGAAAAATTCATACCTTGCAAATGGGGTGTGCAAATCATCTTAACATTTGATTTAACACACACTAGGGTAATCTTGTGTAGAATCCAGTGTAGAAGCCAATGGCGTTAATTAAATATGTATCCTGAGTGTTATATATGTTGCTATGCACCCTAAGAGCATATCTAGCTTTGTAGGTAATTTCCATCAAGTTTGAGTCCTAAGTACAATTTCCAACTGGGTATCGACAGCACAAACTTGTTGAACCTAATGCAAAGGGCTCCAGTAAACCTTACCTGCCATGGTGAACGGATGCAGTAGTATTTGCACTGATTGGTGTAGGGCAGGAAGAGGCAGGTTGCCACTGGCTGCCTCGAGAGGTAGATGAACCAATGGTAGTGGGTGAGGTAGCAGGAGATGAATTGCGATTGGCTGAAATGTAGGGACTGGTGGGGTCACTACTTCTACCAAATGAAGCACTGCAAAACAGCACACAGGGTCACTTTGTCACTTCCCTTTAGGACATGCAGTGCACACAAAAATTCCCAGCCCCAGCTCCCCACTCGGGTTGTGTGCTTTATATAAACATGGGCCAGCGTAGAGACAGTAATGCAACAAAGAAGTGACCAAATTTGGCTAGTAGTAGGGGGATGTTGCAGGTCAGTTTCTATTGAAAACCACAGGAATATATGCAGCAATGAGAAGAAGACAAATGATGTTAACACTGTAGGAAAATGTGAGAGGAGGCTAGGGGAGTGTAGATATTGTATTCAAAGAGAGACCTATCCTATTAGACCCCAAGGCATGAAATATTCCTTTCCTAAGAGCTCATATGAAACAGAGGTGACAGGAGAGGAGAATCTGTTGGGCAATGGGGGAGAAGATAGAAAACTCGGGGCACTGGAAGTGGGAGGCACAGCCAGTACAGAGAGCAGGAGAGGAAAAGGAAATGATCATTTTCAAAGAAAGAGGCCAAGCCTATTAGATTCCAGGGTAAGAAACAGTGCTTTCCTGAGAGCTTGAAGGAAATCAAGTTAGCAATGCAGAAAGCCCACATGACAGAAGAGAATTTGGAAAGGTTCCAGAGATCAAACTAAGAACTAACTAAGATTATTAAAGGACTGGCAGATAAAACAAGAAGGAAAGCCCAAGGCATAGGGAACTGGGGTAATTTAGCAATAAAGAGGTGTTGTCAAGAGGACTTTAGCACATCTTAGCCTAGGATGTAATGAACAAGATGAAGTGAGCTTTTCTTTGTTTTCATTAAATATAGGAGTCAGCTCAAATTGCAGCAAGAAGGGTCTGAATAAGATATTTGGAAGAACTCATAAGAATCGTGCAGACATTGGACTTTATTAAGAAAGCAGCGGAGGCAGCTAGGTGGTGCAGTGAATAAAGCACTGGCCCTGAAGTCAGAAGGACCTGAGTTCAAATCCGGTCTCAGACCAAACACTTGACACTTACCAGCTGTGTGACCCTAGGCAAGTCACTTAACCCCAACTGCCCAAAAAAAACCCACAAAAAAAACCCAGTGGGAGTCTCCTCTAAAGAAAGGGGAAGACAGGTGTTTTTCTGGGAGGTATGAATGCAAACCTGACAGCAGGGAGGGAAAAAACTACAAGTTTTCTCCAAGTTCTCCTCATTAGCCCTAGGATGACTTCAATTGTGACCCAACTTATCCTTTTAAATCATGACTCCATACATATATTCCTGATTGAAAATTATATCATATAAAAGAAAACAGCATAGGCTTGAGAGTTGAGAGATTAGTACTACAAAATTCTATCTTTACTGCTCTGTAACCTAGAACAAGTGTCATAATTTCTTTGGGCCTCGTTTATAAAATTGAGGAGAATACCATCTTCCTATTTACCTTCCAGTTAGGTTTGAGGATAAATGAAATTACAAAAAAAGTACTTTGAGTTCTCAGAACTAGAAAAGCTATAAAAATTCAATTTCTGGTGAATCCTGAACATATTTTCTTTCAAAATGCTCATTAATAAGTATGCTCTCCATCCTGATCTGACAAAGCCTTTCTCCCTGCTGCTCACTAAGAGCTATGCCAAAGAAATTTACTGCATCTGTCAAACCAAATGGCACCCATTTAACCTGTTAAGAATGAGTTAGGTTCATAAAATCAATATCCTATTATGCAATAATGTCAGATCCACTTACCTAGACAGAGAACATCATTAGTGCCATTTTATATTAAAAGAAATTGACTTATAGCATGTCAAACAAGGTGCACCAGTCCCTCGACCTTTCCAATGTGCCTAGTTTTCTCGTTCTCCCCCATCTTGCTGCACCTGGCTAGCTGAGCATACACAACTGAAAATCAAAGACAATTTTGCACCAGAATAAAATAATTTCTTGTATTTAGCTGTGTCCTCTTTCATAGCACGTATCTGCAGAACTGTAGGCCATTAAAAGGCTATGAAGGCTGCTTATTTCATAAACTTATAATTCTAATGCCATGCTCAAACATTCATCAGCTGGTGGTGCCTCATGTTCCCTATTAGACAGTAGTAATGAGTGAGAGATAGAGTGGAGATACTTTCTATCAAACAGAAATATGGTCTGATCCTGCCTGAGGGAGTTGCCCGCACAAAGTCTCTCTTTCCAAGCCTAAGAAAACCATCAGACAACCAATGCAGCAGACCATGATGGCTACAGTACAAAATGGGAGTGGCAATTTAAGGGAGGAGGAAGTCTCTAAGAGACTGACAAAAGAATGAGAAATGTGCAAACCAGAGAGAAAGAATCTTCCAAATCAGCAGTTCTCAAGGTCCAAAACAGAATACCAGGCAAGCAACTCTGCCAAAGAAGCTTCTTCACTGACTGACCAGCAACAAAGAAAGTAACTACTGAAAAGGGACTGTAAGAGCAAGAAGAAAAAGTGAAACACCAGCATTCCCTAAACTTGTGCGTTCCACAATCCTGAAGCGTCTGAAGTTACAGAACAAAAGAAGTCATTTAGAAAACTCAAGCACCTAATCAACTGGTCTAGTTCTAAAGGTATCTTTTTTTTAAAGTATCTTTTTTAATTTGAAAAAAAAAAGCCCACATACACCCAACTTGAATGAGGCCCTCCCTTCCTCTAGAAGCTTTAGAAATAGGAATGAGTCAGATTTAGGGTCAGTTTTTACCACAAGCAGGACCTCTGTTTTAGGATTTTCCAGGGGTCAGGGGATGGAGATGAGGAAATGGGAGGCAGGGCATGGGAAAGAGGGTAAAGAAGAAATATTAAGATCTGTGGCAAAGACTTAATTCAATTAATGTTAATTGTTTTTTAATTTAGATTAGCCAAAATATCTCAAGAAAGCTAAAAAGAAATCCTGCATTTTAGTGATGCACGCAGCCTGTGCAGCCCACAACACTCCCAAGTGAAGCCTGAAAAATATTAGCAAAATAAATTTTTAAAAACTACACAGATAATACTGCGTTTTAACACTAAGTCAATGTGTAGCCAACAAAGATCCTTATGTAGAATTCAGAGGCCCTGTTTCCATTCAAATCAGATGCCTTGGCTGTGGTCAATCACTGGGAATTCTTCCTCAAGATCTCTACCTTTTCAAGTAGGTTGATACATAGGTGGAAGGAGCACCAGTCTGAGAAGTTTCATTTCCCTTTGCTTCATCCCTCCAAAGCTGCCGAGTGTAGGAGCCACTCCGCACCAGATTAACAGCTGATTCTCTGTAGAGGCAAAAAAGGAAAAAAACAAACAAACAAAAACAACATTTTGAGCTTGGGAAAATCTTCAGCCCCCTCAGAACCCTACTCTTGTGCTGCCACAGCCTTCTAATTACTATGCAATACAAACTGGGAGGGAGCAGCCAGAATGAGAAGTCCTGGGCAATAACTAAAGGCAGGAAAACAGCAATAATGCAGCTAGGAGGTATAGCAGATGGAGCCATAGGCCTGGAGTCAGGAAGACTTGAGTTCAAATCCGGGGTCAGACACTTAACTAGCTATGTGATCCTAGGCTAGTCACTTAACCTCTGTCTGCCTCAATTTCCTCAAACTGTAAAATGGGGATAATAGGGTCAGTGCACTGGATAGAGTACAGGCCCTGGTGTCAGGAGGCCCTGAGTTCAAATCCGGCCTCAGACACTTGACACTTACTAGCTGCGTGACCCTAGGCAAGTCACTTAACCCCATTGCCTAGCAAAAAAACAAACAAAAAAATGGGGATAATATTACCTACTTCTTGTTTTGAGGATCAAATAATATGTATAAAGTGCTTAGCACAGTGCCTGACACATAGTGGGTGCTTAGTAAATGCTTGCTCCCTTCCTTTGTTCCCTTTCCCATTTCAAATGTCTTTCTCCTGGCTATGGAAAGGAAAGCACTCAATACTGTTGTGTGCTTTCATCAGTCTTTCGAGCTGATTATCTACCACCAAGCACTAAATCCTTGAGCACAGAGCTCTCCAGGCTTCCTGTCTGTTCCCACAAGAAGCCTTTCCTCATTCCCCTCGATGCCAGCCCCTTCCGTCTGAGGATACCTTCCATTTATCCTATATATGTGTGTGTGTGTGTGTGTGTGTGTATATACATATATATATGTATATATATATATGTGTGTGTGTATATACATATATATATGTATATATGTGTGTGTGTATATATACATATATATATGTATATATGTGTGTGTGTATATACATATATATGTATATATATGTGTGTGTGTGTGTGTATATATATATATATATATATATATATATATATAGTATCTGAACTGAGTTGCCTTCGAGTTCTTTCTCTCATTAGAAGGTGAGCTCCTTACTGGAAGGGTCTGTTTATGCCTTTACACATACATACATACATACTCAGTGCTCAGCACACTGCCAGGCACGGAGTAAAATATAATAAACTCTTGCTGACTTGAATTGATATGACTTGTAGTAAGGTGAGCAGATAGGGAAATGAGTGGTTGGAAGGAAGAGGTATTTATGGGGAAGTCTGTCCCTGGGGAGGCACTGTAGCTGACAGAGAAGCCCTGTGGACAAAGGCAGTATATTTCTGGCATCTCAATGACAATAGCTTCATTTATATAGTACTTTTCTATGGATAACAATGACAATGACAATAGCTTCATTTATATAGTACTTTAAGGTTTGCAACATGCTTTACAAATATTATCATGTTTGATCCTCACAACAATCCTGGGAGTTAGGTGCTATTATGATCCCCACTTTACAGATGAGGAAACTGAGTCAGGGGTTGAATGACTTATCCAGGCCCAAAATTCTATCCACTGAGCCATCTAGCTGCCTAAGCAATCAGGAAGACCTAAGTTCAAATTTGGCCTCAGACACTTACTAGCCATGCAACCCTGGGTAAGTTACTTAACCTCTGCCTGACTCAGTTTCTTCACCAGTTGTTTTGAGGATTAAAAGAGATAATGTTTGTAAAGTGCTCAGTATGGTGCCTGGAACATAGTAGGTCCTATATAAATGCTGTTGTGATTAGTATTCATTATCTCCAGGCTCAGTGCTCCATATACCTAAGGAAGTATCCATGATAAGGACATGTACTGTAAGCTTCATACCCATGAGAGACTCTGCTAGCCAGATGAGGGTCCAAAATATTTTCTTTAGTTAAATTTTTGAAAATCATGTAATCTAAATAAAAAATTCCACCAGATCAGATTTTCCTCTGGGCTTCAGTACCTCAGGTTCATTATGATGGAATAATCAATATTAAATCATGATAATTCTGAATGTTGTTGATTCTTGGCCTAACTGATCCATATATAGAGTTGTGAATATGCTACAAAAACCTTAAAACACATTAAAAGTAACAGATCCATTTAAAGACCCCAGTCAAATGCTCTACCCTGGGGTAAGCAGTGCCCTAGCTCCACCCCTCATCAACTAAGAGATGTTGTAATACAAGCAAAAGATAAACATCTCAGTGGCTACTCTGAGAAAGAGGAGTTTGAAATTCAAAAGTACTCATTACTCTGTGACAATTCAAAGCCTACATGTGAACAACGACCTTTTATCACTTTTTTGTCTTAAATTAATGGTTTCTAACCCATTGAGCTTTTAACCATCTGAAGACTCCTTATAAGAACATATTTATCTAAGATAAAAATTGAGCCTAAAATCATATGACTCAGCAACAAGTGACTCACTGGCATTGGGGGGGGGGGGTTTCCAAGGACTGTTTCTTTTTGTCCTTTATCCCCAGAGCCTGGCACAGGTAGGTGTTTAATAAATGCTTGGTGATTGGTTGATTAACATGATGAGCAGGCAGACTTCAGAAAAACCTGGAAAGACTTGTATGGACTGATGCTGAGTGAAGTGAGCAGAACCAGGAGAACACTGTACACAGTAACAGCCACATTGTGTAATGACTAACGTTGATAGACTTAGCTCTTCTCAGCAATGCAAGGATCTAAGACATCTCCAAAAGACTCATGATGGAAAATGCTATCCACATTCAGAGAAAGAACTATGGAGTGTGAATGTAGATCAAAGCATACTAGTTGCTCTTTTTTTTTCCCTTCTGTTTTGTTTTGTTTCTTCTTTCTTGTCATTCCTCCTATTGGTTCTAATTTTTCTTTACAACTAATGTGAATGACTAATGTGAAAATATGTTTAATAGGAATGTTAATGTAGCGCCTACATCAGAGTGCATGCTGTCTTGGGGAGGGAGGGGCAGAAAATTTAAAACTCAAAAGCTTATGGAAGTGATTGTTGATAAATCAAAATAAGTCAATAATAAAAAGCTTATAGAAGTAATTGTTGAAAACTAAAAAGAAATTAATTAAAAAAAGAAATTTAAAAAATTATATCTAGCCTTATCTCCTTCACTTCTAGTGCTGCATCTCTAACTGTATAATAAACACACCCACTCAGATGTCCTGTAAGCCTGTCAAACTAAAAAATCTCCCAAGCTGAAGTACTTGTCTTACCTTCTTAACCATCCCCCTCCTTCAAACCTTCCCCAATTCTGTTGGGGGCATCGCCAATCCTTCTGGGTTTGTAGGTTTCACCACCTCAGTGTCATTCTTGACTCTTTCCTCTCCCTCAGCCCCCACCTTCAATCAGTTGCCAAGTCTTGTCAATTTCACCTCCATCCCATCTCTCAGGTTCATCCCCTTCTCTCCACCTGCACAGCCACCACCCGACTTCTGCCTCTCATCACCTATCATCGGGACTACTGAACCATCTTCCCCATCACTGTTCCTACTTCCAGTATCCTTCTCTCTAATTCATTCTCCACAAAATTGCCAAAATAATTTTTCAAAGGTACAGATCTGATTATGTTACTGTCCTGCTCAAAAATCTTCAATGACTCCAGAACAAACTGTAAACTTCAAAACCTGATTCTTAAAACCCACCAAAACTTGGGTGCCACCCCCTTTCTAGACTTATTTCATGTCATTTCTTCTTCATGTTTATTATGTCACAGCCAAGCCAGTCTACTTGCTGTTCTCCAAACTTAGCATTCCCTCTTTCATCTCCATGCTTGCACACAAGCTGTCTCCCAAACCTAGAATAAACTCCCTTTTCACCTCCACACTTTAATAGGAAGTTCTTTGTAATATAACCTAAAATACATCTCCCAGAAACTTCCATTGGGTCCTACTTCTCCTTTCTGCATAGCTTCAGAGTAGGAGAAAACTAGAACCAATAGGCAGATACTACAGTAGGGAAACACTGTGTCAATACAGGGAAAAAATTTATCCTGCCTTATCTTATAGCACTTGCCCATTCTGCTCTGGTCAGGCCAGTCTAACCTCTTGGCCCCTAATGGTGCCATGTTTGCTGAAGGCTCCTCCTACTCTCCCTGCCTGAAGTGTCCATAATTCAAATTCTGTTTCCTTTCCCCAACCACTTCAGCATACAACTCCTCCTGTTCTAGGAACTTACCTGTCTGTGCCAATCACTATGGTGCTTAATCACATACTTTCTTTTTTTTTTCCTTTTAAAATATTTTAATTTTTTTCCAATTACATGTAAAAATATTTTTAACATTCATTTCTTTAAATTTTGAGTTCTAAATTCTCTCCTTCCCTCCCTGCTCCCCCTCATTGAGAAGGTAAGCAATTTGATATGGGTTATACATGAATCACATGCTTTCTTACAACAGTGATCTGTATTATGTATGTTAGTCTTGTATCCCTTGTAAGCTCCTCAGGGATTCAGATCACAGCATCGCACATCTTTGTATCCTCTCTTTGTAACTGTGTATTGATGGAACTAAAACTGAAGACAACTAACAAAATTCTGTGGTTGCCCCATGATACAGTAAGTGGAATAACACACCTAGAGGTTAGCACCGAGCTTCCAAAAAATGGAAAGAGTCCTACTAAATTACACAATCATGTAAATAAATTTCAGACATCATATTTCATAGCAACTGTATTCCCAGAATCACAGAATGTTAAGATCTGGAAGGAACTTTACCAGTCCAATAGACTGAGATCTTCATTTTTCAGATGAGGAAAGCAAAGCCCCAAGAAGTGACTTGCCCACAGTCACACAACTAATAAGTAGTAGGGCCATATTCTGATTCCAATCCCACTTTTCTTTCCACTCCCTCAAGCGATCACTTCACTGGCCTTTTTGGGCACTTTGGGTATTAGGTGCCCATGAATCATAAGGCACTCTCACTAGGTTCCAGATCTGATCTGTAGATACACAGCAGCCATGTGCTGATGATTTATAATTGTGCAAATCCGCACATATAGGAAATAATTTGCTTTATAGTAACAAGAGCCATTTCTTACCAATGTGCTAAAATTCCTTTTTCAAAGTTCTGTATTGATATTTCACCATTATGGTATGAAAGTACTAACGACATTTGATAGAAATAAGAGTCAAAGTCCTTTAGAGCCTACAATTTTCAATTCAATTCAAGAAGCATTCACTAAGTATCTTCTATAAGCAAGACAAATTTAGAGCATAAATCACAAGATCTTTGAATTTGGATTAGGAAGGTCAACAGGAAAGGAAGGAGAGAAGGGAAGACAAGGCAAAGGAAGGAAAGTGAGGCCAAGGAAGGGGACGGCAGGGCAGGATTTCTTAAATTCCTACTATGTAGCAGACACTGTGCTACACACTTTAGAAACACCATTTTGTTCTCACAACTCTAGAAGTACTACCATTATCCCCATTGTACAGTTGAGGAAATTGAGGCAAACTGAGGTTAAGTGACTTTCCTAGGGTCACACAGCTAGTAAGTGTCTGAGGTGGGATATGAACTTGGGCTTTCCCAACTCTGGGCTCAGCATTCTAACCACTGTGCCACTTAGATGTAGAATGGGTGTTGTTTATCATAGTGGAAAAGAACAGAAAAAATACTCTGAGGAAGAAAGTAGACTAGTTGTAAGGCATGGTGAGACAGGCATAAAAACTAAAGGAAGAATCTCACAAAAATGTATTAAAGTGAGAAAAATCAGGAGAAGGAGGGAGCAGGAGCACATGTAATGCAGATACTGTGCAGCGGGGATGCTCCTAAGAGGACATTCAAAAGATATCTGCCTACTTAGGGCAGAGAAACAAGAACCCAGGAAGACCTCAGCACAACAGCACAAATCAGAGAAACCTGTTAGACTGACACAGCCATACCTGTTTTCCTTTTCCTCAATGTCACTTGCACTATTGAGCCTCCGGGGTACTAGTGAGGAAAAATAGCTTTTGTTTTCCCTCTCCTGTAAAACCAAAACAAGGAAAGTGTTGGGTGGGTGTAGAACTGACGTGGGAGATAAAGCCTGGGACTAAATGCACCACCTCAAAACATAACCCAATTATCTGGCTTAGTTCAGACACCAATTCCATTTCCAGGGTTACATACAAATGGCGAGTTTTCAGTGGCCTAGGAATTCCTGAGTCCTTTCAAAGAGAAATAAGTATATGTGGAACAAGCCACTGGAAGGCAGAGGTGATCACTGCATGGATAAAAGCAGCCCAAAGTGCCAGCTGTGGCAGAGAGGCTTGTTCAAAAGCCAAATTCCAAACAGTTCTAAATGCTAGATGGACTAGTACTCATTTACTCTTCTCCCCCACCCCCAACTTACTTGTTTTTGAACAATTAGACTTAAATATAAAGGACAGGCAAGCTAGGCTGTCCTTAGAGAGTTATCCTGTGAGGAAAAAACATGTAGATGCTTCTTTGGGGAAAAGTACAACAAACATCACTATGGCGGCAACCAAGCTAGTACACCTCCTTCCCTCTGGGTAGGTTAAAAAAACCATCCAAGCTAACTAAATTATGAGTCATGACCTCAGAGAGGAAGAATGGGAATATCAAGGGAGCTGATTTAAGACCTGGGATGGGGTGATTTGAAATGAACCGTTTTTACTCATCTGTGTGAGTAGCTATTTATGAGAACTGCCTACTCACTGCAAAACAGATTTTCCCCCTTTTATTATCGGTGGAAGTTTTAGGAGCCTTTTTTTCTCCAATTTCTATTTCTGCTGAGATATTTTGGCTTGAAAGCCCAAACTAAGGGATTGTGCCCAATGTCATTTAACTGCTTTGCTCCCAAGTCCTCAAAAAAAAGCAGTGGTATTTTTCCAGGAAGACGTTTTAAGCCATACCCAAGCCTGGATACACCTAACACTGTTGCTGTCCTAAGTGTGAGAAGGCTAGCTATAAGTGGAGTCAAGAGGAGAAACTATGGGATTGGTAGAGCAAGAATTATTGCAGCTCCTGTCAACAATTACTTGTCCCTTGTGAATCATATTTGATCCCTAGTATTAAGGTGCTGATCTGCCTTCAATCCTGGTGACTTTCTGGGGCTGACGAGGGTTTTCTACCTGTCACAGAATGAATCTGCTAACCCCAAAACAGCACCTTTTCTTTGTTATCCAGCAGTGCAGAAATCCTGGGGCTCGATGAGGAGCGGCAGATGGAGGAGCCTCGATCCCTCAAAGCCTCCCGAGGACTGGCCACCTCACTCAGCATGTTGTGGCTGCCGGTCTTCCGGAGCCCAAGGCGCCACGAGGCGGGTGACTCGTCCTTGGGCTCTTCTGCCTTACTGAAGAAACTAGAGGAGAGCTAGAAGGAAAGGAAGGAACAAGGAAGAGGAGCTGATCAAACAGCAGTGCTCACACAGTCAGAGTACGTGCCTTTTTCAGACAACTAGCCTCTTCCTACCTTAATTCCACTCCTGAGTTCAATAAAGTCCTGTTGTTTTGTGCAAGGATGACTAGATTGGATTCTAGTTGCATGAGTGCCACTTAGGGCCTCATTATTCCCATCTATAAAATGGGGATAAGATATTGCCTTGACCCAGAGGCTGGAAAACTAAAATGAGTTCTTAGCAAGAAAGGCAATAAAACAAGCTGATTTATTATTAAGTAACCCTGCTTCTAACGTCCTCAATGTACTGTGTAGGTGGCCCTAAGTTCTCATGAAAGCTATGCTGAGTAGTTCCAGGTCCTACAAACTAGAAAGGCAAAGAGTATGGGCCCAGCAACAGACTATCTATCTGTCACCTGACACCAGCCTAGACCAGTTCAGATAGGCTCATACCAACAGGAGTTTGGCTAGTAAGTGACAATTTTTTTTAGGCATAACAACTGAAGAAATAGTCAATCAAGGCTCAAAATGAAGGGGAAGGACTTCTTGGAAGATTCCTTCCAATTCTAAATCTATCCAGGCCAAGGATCTATGAAATACCGAAGTATTAAACTTTACAAAAATGTGTAGTGAGTAAAAGGTGTAAAAACGTGTAAACTTTACAAAAATTCACTCAAATTCTGATTGCTAAAAATGTCTCAGAGGACTTGATATGCCTACATCAGTTTGGAGCTTTTATGGAGTCTAAAGGCCTTCTGCAACATGCCTTGGGCTCCCTTCCCTGCCAAGCCATCGTTGTCTATCTATCAGATAGAGTATGAGTGCCATAGAGTGCCATGCATGTCATGGTTAGTCCCCAAGGTTTCCAGGAGATTAAAGGTGTACGACCCAGTTGGTGCTTTGCATTTCAGTGAGCACTTATCTTCTTTTTAACTTCCCATCAAGTGCAAAGATGGGTGTCTCATCCAGAAAAACTTTAGAGCAGAGGCAAAGAGCACAGAGAAGCTGTCAAAATGGTAAATGTTGGAAGCCTGAGCTCCCCCAGACTGTTGTCTATATAAAACTATTTGTAGGAAATACTAACTTTATCTTAAGATAAATTTTTTCAGGTGACAGATAACAAGAAATTTCTAACAACAAAGGCCCTTTTTGCTCTGTACACTAATACTACTATCCAGATGAGAGTTTTACAGAATCAACATGCAAGAGCATATTTATAAGCCCTAAGGCACCATAAATACATAATCTGCTATAAGCTATGATAATATTATTTTACAAAACTTCATTCCAAAGCCTTCCTCATGGTCTTCTAGGGTATAACACAACACTACAGCTGATTTTATGGCCTTCTCAAGCTACTCACTCTTCTGGCAGGAGAAGCAGAGAAGATATTCTGAGATGGTGGTGGTATCTGCTCCGTGACGGTACTTTTTGATTCAGAGCTGGTGTGGTTGACAACATCCTCTGGCTTTTGATCTGGTGTTTAACAGTGGAGAAGGAATAAAAACACTATTAAAATTCTGCTTCTCTCTCATGCCCTTTTCTGCTAATTGAAAGGGGTCACCTGGCAATTATTAGACAAAAGGGTGAAAGCATGAATCCACACAAATACCTGAACTCCAAGTAAATAAAAAACCACTAAGAGACTGCTGGAAGTAGAAGTAAATCAAATCAGTGTGTAACTTACTCCCCTGCCCTAGGAACTTTAGTCTAAACCTTTATTATGTGTAGAGGGGATTAAAAAGATATGAATTTGATCTAATGAACTAGTTACTGGACCATACAATTGTGAAATATTTCATCAATTAGCAAAATTTTATTATGCATTTATTGTGCTTATGACTGTGCTAGGCACTGTGGGAAAGACAAAAGAAGTATAAGACATGGTCCCAGATCTCAACAAATTTGTAATCTGGTTGGGGAGACAAAATTAGCACATGTAAAACAATAGCAAAGCAAAATTTTAAATCCCAAAGTATCCAATGAAGAATCAAACAACTGGTTTGACCAGTGAGGGGACAGGGTTTGGAAGCCTCCTTCCCCAAGGAACCTATTGCCTCAGGTACAGACTCTAACACCTCTGTTCTGAGTCACCACCATAAGACCAAAGGCCCCCACTACCAGCAGAGGCACCAGCAGAGAGGGCCCTCCACTAACTCCAGAGTCCCGGCCCTGAGATTAACACAGAAGAAGACTGGGCTGTCCTCCACAGCTAGTGCTTCTCTCCTCACTGGAGGTTTTCAAACAGAAGTTGAATGACTACTTGTTGAGTATGTCATAGTATGCATTCTTTCAGGAAATCAACTGAATGAGATCAGGGGCCTTAACCTGGGGTTGAAATACTCCCTTAAGGGTTACATGGATAGATCTCAGGGGCTCCATGAACTTGGATTAGAAAAATATTTTGAAAACTGTATTTCAATAGAACTGATTTCCTTTGTAATCCTATGTATTTTATCTAATACATTTAAAAAAGTTATTCCGAGGAGAATCAGAGGTGGCCAAAGGGATCTATGACACCAAAAAGGTTAAGAACTCCTCCACCAGATGAATGCTGAGGCTCCTTCCAACTCTACATTCTATGATTCTGCAATTTCTTCCTGAGGCTATCGCCCACTGAATGAGATTCTTAAGTCTCCTTGGTCCAGGAACACAAGGATACTGTACCTACCCTGTCAATCTGTCAATATTCCTACCTGCCCTGTGTCAATCAAACAACATTATAGTCATTCATTATCATCAATAGTCAGTCAACAAGCATTTAAGTGTTTACTACATGCCAGGCACTGTGCTAAGTGATAGAGATTCAAATAAAGGCAAATTCTACTGGAGAAGACAATATGTAGATCTCTGTGGACATGTACAAGATATATACAGTGTAGGAGAATGTAGTCTCAGAGGGAGGGCATTAGCTGTCAGGGAGAACAGGAAAGGCCTTCTGCACAAAGTGAGATTTGCGCTAAGTCTTGAAGGAAGCAGAAGGCAGAGATAAAAAAGGACACCATTCAAGGCACACAGTACATCCGTGCATCTCTTAATGCAGCACTTCCTCAACTATGGGTTACAACCCCACATGGAGTCGTGTAACTGAACGTGAGGGTCGTGAAAAATTTGGCAACAGTGAAAGGTTTCTGAACACGCAACCAAAAATTAATTCAAAATCAGATGTGCAATGAATCCGGGGTGTTTCTGGCAGCGCTTGCTCACGTTGTATCGTGTGACTTCACTGCAGCCTTGGTTCTGAACATATAACATGCACAAGTTGCACTGCACATGCCATCATGCCAAGCTGCACCACGAACACTGCCAGAAACACAGTTCAGATTCAAGTCTATGGTATGTTATGAACTGCCGTGTTTCTGCTATACACACAAAATTGTTAAATGAATTTTGGCTTGGGATAAGGACAGAATTTCCAACAACTTCTGAAATGGCCCTAAACATACTTCTGCCATTTTTAGTATGTATTTATGTGAAGTGGCATACTCAACATTGACGATTATAAAATCAAAATATTGATAAACTTTGAAAAATGTTGAAGATGCTCTGTCCTTCAGTATCAAATATTCTGCCAAGATTTAATTCTTTATGTAAAAATAAACAAGCACATCCATCTCATTAGTATGCAAATGTGCTTTCACCTTTAATAAATGGTAAAATTATATGTATACAAAAGAATTGTTCTAAAATAAATTTCTTTATGACTTATCAGTAAATGTTTGATTTGTATTTTATTAACCTATATAACCAGGGTTGGGTAAAAATTTCTTGAGTGCAAAGGGGTCGTTTGCAGAAAAAGTTTAAGAAGCCCTGACTTAGAGGATCTGTCAACCCCAGTTAAGGACTCCTGATCTAATTCAATTGATTGCTCCAAAGAATTCCTACTCTAACATACTTTGCATAGAGAAAGGACAGTGTTCAGAAATGGTGTGTCACATGAGGGGAACAGTAAGTAGACAGGTACAACTAGACTGCAGATGGATGGAGAGGAGTAAAGTGTAAGATTGGGGAGGTGGGAAGGGGCCAGGCTGTACAGGGCTTTCCATGGCATTACATTTGATCCGGGAGGTAACAGGCAGCCGAGAGAGCGAGAGAGAGAGAGAGCGAGAGAGAGAGAGCAAGAGAGAGAGAGTGAGAGAGAGAGAGAGAGAGAGAGAGAGAGAGAGAGACAGAGAGTGTGTGTGTGAGAGAGAGAGAGAAACAGAGAAAGACAGACACATACATACACACACACACACATACACAGAGTGACAGAGACAGGGAGATAGAGACAGATGCTTCAGGAAAACCATTTTTGGAAGCTGAGTGAAGTATCATTTGGAGTGGAGATATCAAACATAAGGTGATAGAAATAATCTAGGCATAAGGCAATGATGGCTTGACCTAGGGTGGTCACTGTGTGAATAGAGAGAAAGTTACACAACAGAAACGTAGAAATAAGGCTTGGCAACTGATTGGATGTGGATGTGTGGTAGTGTGGTTTGTCCTTTCTTCTCCAACAGGATCTTGACATCAGGAAGATGATGCCATGACTTGCAAGTCAATTGGACTACAGTGAGGGAGGGCTGTGCAAAGTCACCAGCCTCACTTTTTCCTCTGGAACCATCCGGGTCCGGTGGCCAGATATAGATCAGGATGACTGCAGAGGGCAGCCTCGGTTCTGAACATACAACATGCACAAGTTGCCCTGCACATGCCATCATGCCAAGCTGCACCATGAACACTGCCAGAAACACAGTTCAGATTGGAGTCTATGGTATGTTATGAACTGCCGTGTTTCTGCTATACACACAAAATCGTTAAATGAATTTTGGCTTGGGATTAGGACAGAATTTCCAACAACTTCTGAAATGGACCTAAACATACTTCTGCCATTTTTAGTATGTATTTATGTGAAATGGCATATTCAGCATTGACGATTATAAAATCAAAATATCGACAAACTTTGAAAAATGTTGAAGACCCTCAGAGTTTTTGGCCAAATGAGAAACAATTGCTATTTATATTCACTCTGAGACATCAAGGCCCAAACAATAAACATTAAGTTGTGTTTGGGGTAGGGACCTATTGTTGGCCAATCAATGAGAGCCAGAGTGAATTGGTTTAAGGCATGGTCTTTAAGAAAAAAATCTAGCCAGTAAACCCATCTAGGTAGGTTTCAGCTTTCAAAATTTACCTTCCTTTGGGCAGACCACCCTCAGGTAAAGGCATGATACTAGGAGAGGTTATGAGTCTGAGGAACTGAGAAAATGGTGGTGTCCTTGACAGGAAAAACGAAGTTTAGGAGAAGGGGTTTGATGAGAAAGATAAGAAGTTCTGTTTTGGACATATATTTGAGATGCCTTATATAAGACATTTAGCTGAAGATGTCCAAAAGGCAGTTGGTGATGTATGATTGCAGAAGTAAAGGACAATCTGGAAGAAGAGAAGCAAAAGGCAATCATTTAAAAAAAAAAACAAAACACTGAGGCAGCTATGTGCACAGTGGACAGAGCACCAGCCCTGGAGAGAGGAGGACCTGAGTTCAAATTTGACCTCAGATACATAACACTAGCTGTGTGACCCTGGGCAAGTCACTTAACTCCATTGCCTAGCCAAAAAAACAAAATAAAACAAAACAAAAACAAAACAAAAAAAGAAAACATGATCTCTATGCAAGCAAAACATACTGCTCTCAAAGAAAGAATGTATATCTCTTCTGTGACTGTAAAACTATTTTTTACCTGTTTTATGTTTTATCTGGTATAAATAAGCAGAGTCACCAAAAAAGAGTTCTCTGTTTGTTACATCTTTTTTATATCAAAAACCTTGTACGATTTTTACATAAACTTGTTGGAGAAGAGCCTTTAAGGTGCCATTTTGCTCTGCTGAATAAAATGCTTTAAAAAAATCAATTAACAATAAGCACACTAGGATTTTATATTCTTTATACTTTTCAATAAATCTGTGATTATAAAGATGTGGTTACCATTGAATACTGTCTGTGAAAATCTACTTCTTTTCTAATAAGAATCCCAATCCAATAAATATTTATTAAATGCCAAGCACTATGCTAAGTCTGGGGATAAAATTAATAAAAAGACAGCTCCTGCCCTCAACAAGCTTACAACCTAGAGGAGGAGACAACACACAAAAAGAGGCAATAAAGGTGGGGAAGGGGGACACCAAGAGGGACCCAGGGCAGAGACATCTTGTTCCATAAAGTTGAAAACTGGCAAGGCACAATATTTGGCTCTGACAGTCCAGTTTCTCCCTTTTATAATGGAAGGCACTGGGAGGAGTTTGGTTTTCCCTCTAGAAGCTGGGGGAAGTGGAGTCAATCAAGGCTTGAGTTAGCAGCCTGGTATGAGTTTAAAAGTGATGAACTTATCCTGGGAGGGGCATCTTGTTGTGGGGAATTGAAACCAGGCAGGGCAGCAGATGCAAAGTGTGCTATAATAATGTCCTTATTAAAGATGCTCTCAATGTGTGTTTAGATTATGCTCATTAAAATTTGCATAGCTGGTGAAACAGGCAGATAGATAGGCACTTACTAATATCTCTTAGTCACTTTAGGGGGGAGGAGATGGGTAATATTTAGGTCAGATTTCTTCCTTTCTAATGCCTTTGGCATTATCCTCTATTCATTTTCCTTGAGTATTGATCGCTCAGTATCATCAAAACTGTCACCTCCTGTGTAGATCTCCTCTGGTTATGCCTGGTCTAGTCAGGGGCTTTTCTTCAGTGTCCTTCATTCCCACTTCTTCCAACAGCATATGCAGGACAATAATAACCAAAGTCCAAAAGTGGAGGCTCTACCACCATTAATTGTGAAAAGAGCTTGTTTTTTAAAAGTACTGATGAAGAATGAAGTGAGCAGAACCAAGAAAACAATTTATATAAGAACAATGCTATAAAGAAAAGCAACTCTGAAAGCCTCAAGAATGCTAATTGATGCAAAGACCAAGCACAGTTCCAGAGGACTGAGGATGGAGCTGAGGAGTACCTACCTCCTGACAGAGAGAAAGGTGATGGAGTCAAGATTCAGAATAGGAGAAACATTCTTAGAGACAGCCAATGTGGAAATTTGTTTTGCCTAACTATGCATATTAGTAAATTCTTGTTGACTTGGCTTTGTTTTCCCTTTTTTTTTTCCTTTCAATATGGAGGAGACAAAGAGGGTAGAAAAAAAAAAGAGGATCATGAACACTTTAAATTGTTGTTTGTCCATTGTGAGGGAGGGCCTTGCAAGGTCACCAGCTTTACTTTCTCCTCCAGAGCCATGTGGGTCCAGTGGCAAGATACAGATCAGGCCAACTAGAGATGGCCTAGGACGCAGTGGGAAACCCTGGCCTTTTTAAGCTAAGGTCTTTCAGAGTTTTCACTTTGACTGAGGCAAGACCCATTCAGGGATTAAGGCTGGTTAAGATGAGACAAGGAATGTTCCCTTTTTTCTAATTCAAAAAAAATCAATCTGAGAGGGGAAGACTCTCAGGGTTTCTGGCCAAAACAGAAACAATTACTATTCACATTCAATCAGCCATCAGGGCCCAAACAACGACCACTAAGTGGTGCTTGGGCTGGGACCTATAGTTGGCCAAACAATGAGAGCCAGAGTGAACTGAGTTTAAGGCATGGTCTTTAGAAAAGAAATCTATGTACATGTATAACCTGTATCAGGAGAGGGGAGGGGAGGGGAGGGAGAGAGAGAGGAAAAAAGTTTAGAACCCAAAATCTTATAAAAGTGAATGTTGAAAACTTCCTTTACACATAACTGGGGAGAAAAAAATAAAATACCATAACAAAGAAAAAAGAAAGAAGAAAGAATCTAGCCAGCAAACTGCAAGATATCTTGCTAGGTTTCAGCCATCAAAATTTACATTCCTTTGGGCAGAGCACCCACAGGTAAGGGAATGATACCCAATGTGGACAGAGGGAGAGGGAGATGAGAGGAGAGAGCAACACTTTAAATATAGGACAACAGAAGAAAGACAAGGAAGAATCAGACAAGTAGGATAGCTTTGAAAGTTACATGTTGAACCATTACATATTTTAAAAGAAAAATCAGCTGTACAAAATAAAGATGACAGTTAAGGGATCTTATAGATCTGAACTAAATACAAATTTATTCTCCAGAGAGAAACAAAAAGTATTTGCCCCAAAGTGTACCTGCAAGCTCTCATTTCCTCTGCTGCCCATATTCAGTCCTGAGCCTTTGGAATTTGATCTTCACATCATCTACCAAGTCAAGGTCAGGAGATCCGACTCCCTCACATTAGAACTCGCAGAGTATCTTATCATATTGCTACTTAGGAATAGCTAAATAGATGCTGCCGTAGCCCAGAACTCTACAACCAAGTTTCTGCAACAAAGTCAACACAAGCATAACCAGGACTTAAAAGTCTTTTGGAGTACTCAGTGGCCTGGTAGCTTTCAAATACCCCCTGAAAAAGGCTCTCTTAGCTAACCAGCTTGAAAATGTCAGACATAAACACCACTGTATTACCTGCCTCCTTCTCAGCATCGGACTCAGAAGCTTCCTCTTCACCTTCTTCCTCTTCTTCTGAGCTAGAGCTGCTAGATTCCTTAATCTCTTCCTCTGTTTCTCGGGACTTGGGTGTTTCCTCATCATACAGAATCTTCTCTTTGCTAAATCAGAAATGAGACTAAATGGTGTTGACAAGACAAGCAATTTCTGAGGTTTACTTGAACTGAAGATTAACAAGTGTACTGCTTTCAAACTCTTCCTTCTTCCATTTCCTTCCTCTGAAACCCTGGTTCAAGTCTGCATTACTTAACTCCCTCATTCAAGCATAGTTAGCTTGAACAGCTCTAGGACCCTACCAGCATCTTGATGATAAACATCGCCATCCCTTGGATCGGAAGGAGGAAAATGTTAATTAGGCCCCTAATTTCAAAGCCCCAAACATTTCACTCATTCTCAGTCATTCTTTTCACTAATAAATGCCAGTTCCCAACCTATCAAACAGTCAATCACTGCAAAAAAACACTTTGCAAACCATAATATATTAACACATGTGAGTTATTGTTACTGTTTTTAGTGATAAGGATTGTGATGATGATGATGATGATAAATGAAATTCCCACAAAAGCCTTCCTAAGAGATGACAGAAAAGAAGTAAGGCTCATTATATTTCTCTTAGGCCCACGCAGGCCCTGTGCCACAGCACAATATTACATCTAAAAGCACTAACAGGGTGAGAAGCCTAAGTGATGATGAGGCCCTGTGATCTCATGTCACTCACACATCTTCAGTGTTTAGAGAGGAACCACTGCTCTAAGTGCCTCAGAGGCAGCTAAAACCTCCCTGTGCTGTTCTTATTATCGAAGGTCTTACTTTTTAAAGAGTCCACTCTGCAATCTGCCATTCAGGTCTGCTTCAATGAGCTTATTTCTTGTTTCTTTCTCACTTCGAAGCTGAGAATGGAAAAAGGAAAAGACAGAAAAACAGCTTGTTGGTTATTAGACATCAGCAGCAGTGAAAGGCTCTTAACATGGTATGACTATCCTAGAGGTGATTATCAAGATTGAAAGGGCATGGGAACACAGAGACCCATACTAGTTAGGTCTTTTTAACAGGGATCTCACTATGGGAGCCACAAGTTAGAATGAGAAAGTGAAGGAAGGGATGCGCAAAGAAGATGGAGTTGGAGCTTTGACTCAAGAAAGGCACACAAGTTCAAAGCTAACTCTGCTAACTTGCCTGACCATTTTCTGCAGAAAAAGAATAAAAATCCAGAAAGAGGGAGACGGATGAAGAGAAAGTCAATTAATCACAGAACCATAACATATAAAAGTCATCCAGTCCAGTTCTCCTGTTTCAGAGATAAAGAAACTGAAACCCACAAAGGGGAAGTGACTTGCTCACAGTTACACAGGTAATAAGTGGCGCAGGCAGAATGTGAACCCCGATCCTGTGACTCCGAGTCCAGTGCTCTTGCCTTTGACTCAAACAGACCACGCCACTATAGATTATGAAAAAGTAGATATGACCCATTTATTCATTTACTTCAAAAAGAAATCAACAGTTAAGAAAGCTTAGCACCCAAGACTAAGAGAAAAGTTCTTGATCAAAGGGTATTCATAGGCCTGCAAGCCAATTCACCAAATACTGCTGGAAAAGTAAAAAAAAAGAAACCTCATCTACCAGTGAAGAAATTAAGGATTAATTATAATCTAGAGTCCCTTATGGCCATCCAGTTATATCCAAACCCAACCACACAAACTACATATGTCTGTTTTAGAAACACTGTTGTGCCTATATAACAGCATTAATCTTTGTCATTTAAGAAACAGTGGCATTTAGTGACGTGCTGTACAACAAAGGAGATGAAAAGAGCTAGCAATTAGTTATTCTGCTTGGGGCATAATTCTGTGTAATTTTGCCACTGTCTTAAAGTAAACCAAAATGCAAGAATCCCCAGAAAGAACTAAGGCATTATAAAGGTCTGTACACACTCCTCAGAGCAGCTCCCACGAAAGCCCACGTCCCATTATCTCTAGGGCAGGAGAAGGCAAAGAGAATCTCTCCACTTAGATGTTTCTCTCTTTCACCCAGCCAAAGGAACAGAAAAGGAAGAGGACCATCACCCAGAATACTTATGAAGGAACCTGGACTAGGCATTTTATAAGGCATATAGCACAATTCAGAGAGTTGGAACTCTAGTCCTTGCTCTACCACTTGTAAGACATGGAACTTCTTTAAAATGAAGAGGCTGGGCCCAGACCAGGATTTCTTAACCGTTTCTGTGTCATGGACCTGTCTGGCAGTCCAGTTCACCCTTATAAATCTGTTCGAGGAATAAAGTTTTTAAATGCATAAAATAGATAAGATCACAAAGGAAACCAGTTATACTGAATACAGTTATCAAAATATATTTTTTTAAAGTTTATGGGCCCCAGGTTAAAAAAATCCTGGCCTAGGGGACGCCTAATGGCCTTCTCAGATTTAAAAACCCTATACTCTCTGAGCTAAGCATATATATTTATGGGTTTAGTAACCATACTTTTGTTAGAGTCCTTCTCTCTCCAGTCAATCAACAAATGGCTACAGCAGGACTCGACTCTATCTCAACATCCCAAAACAAATCCTTCTTTACCTACTTCTGGAGGTCTCGTGATCTCGGTGTCCATGTGCCAACCACTCTAAATGTTTACTTCTATCAGAACTCTCACCAATACCTCTTCCATTCATACTTGCTCTAAGCTCAATTCAACAATGCTGCTGTATCAGGGCAGAGTTTAGTGTCTGTCCTAAAACTCTGAATGGTTATTCCCTACCTCGCAGCCAATGAGAAGGTTAAAAAAAAAACACCAGCCAGCCTCCCAAGACGGATAAGAAGAAAGCCAGTGATTCTTTCACTCCCACTCTCTGACTGGAACTCCCATGGCTACTGCTCTTGTTCTTCACTCCAATTGTACAATGATCCTTGTTCTCTTTTCCTAGACCAGCCACTCCAAGTCTTCTCGTATATACAATGTTGACTACTTACTGTTTATTCACACATTGGTTTGAAGTTTCTACTCTACCATCTTTAGCACTGTCTGTATGTTTATGCATTGGTTTTACTGGTTCACTGAGAGGCAGAGTAGTGAACCCGGAGTCAGGAGAGACCTGATTTCAAATCCTACATCACACATCTACTGGTGGGGTGACTATGAGCAGGTCATATACCATATTTGAGCCTCAAATTTTCCTACTTCAAAAGGGTGTAATGAGGATTAAAGAGATAGGGAATGCAAAACTCTTTGAAAACATTAAAATCCTTTATAAAGGGTAGAGGGTAACATTTATGTTGTTATTTTGTACAGCAGGCAGCAAAGTAACACTCAAAGTAAACAATCAATTAGGGCAGGATGACGATGATGATGATAACAATGATGATGATGATGGTGATAAATCTTCAAATTTATATGGTTAGGATTTCTAAAATAACTGAGAGTTTTCATCTACCCAGTGTCCGTGACCCAAAATGCAGTGCTTCTTTTTTCAATTTCAAGTAACAAAAGCTTCTTGATCTTTTCAGTTTTTCTAACAATGATATCCAACTTACGAAGTATCCAGGTACTTCCTGTGGGAAAAACTATGATTCTAGAGCCATGCTTAGAATTCAGGGGCAATCAGAAGCTTAAAAACGCTAGCAATTAATAGGTTGTCTCACTATAAAAAGCAAGTTTCAACATTAGGGCTTTCTGGGATGTTTCCTTATAACAGGCTGTCTGACAGTCCTCGAAGAGACTAATTATCATCCCAGGAATGCAGAAGTGTCCATTTTAGTCTCAGCAGAGACATAACTAAAGCAAGTGGCTAAGATACCTGGAGTAGATAAGAAATTGTTAAAGAAGCTTCAATAAAGGCACCAGTCTCAGACTCACCACATTCTGCTTCTTCTGGAGCATCTCCAAGTGTTCCACAAGCCCTTCATCAGCCACATCGAAGGGTGTTTGGCCCTGGCAGTGAGAAAGGGCACCATAAGCAGCAGAAAACAAAACAGCAACAAAATCAGCGCTCTCTGTACTAGGGACCACTCAACTTTCATGTTCTGCTTTTGCATTCTGCCCACAGAATCCCTATTTTATGATACTGGCCTGTCTAACACAGAGAAAATACATAAATGACAGCCCCTTAAAAATAATGTTTTACATGTTACAAGATTTAGTACTGGGACCTCCCCGCACTACTATCAAAGGTAGAGGGTCATGGGTGGGGAACATTAAATATAATTTCAGACTCCTTTAATATGCTTGTTAATTTTTGCTGAAATATTTTTTCCCTACTCTTTTTTTATTCTTTGTTATAAGGAATGGCTCTCTGGGAGCATGTGGAAAGAAAAGATATAATGGGAAGTACAGGTGATATAAAAATAAAATACGTCAATAAAAATTTATTTTTAAAAAAGGTAGTATGCAGTGTGATGCTCTAACCACTCATACCCTCCTGACACATTACTGATCACTGTGCCCACTGCTGCCTACTATATGTCTGCTTCACTGACCAGTTTGTTCCTGATATCCATGTCACAGAGTGCTTCTGCAAGGATGGAACAAGCCTCTTTCACCCCCCAATGTGCAGCAGCATGGAGGGGAGTCCAGCCATCATGATCTTGAACATTCAGTTCATAGCCAGCCTGAATCAAAAGCCTGAGAAGAAAAACCAAAGGTAAAATGCTTAACACTGTAGTTCTCTGCAGAACAACTCCTAGTCCATTACCAGTTTAGCTTTGGGTCCCTAGGTATTCCCAGTGCCTAGCAAGTGCCATAGAAGAAAGGCATTTAATAAACATTCATTTAAAATAAACTGAATGACACCCTCCACTCTCTAAGCCAAAGCTCAGGTTTCACAAGCAATTCTTGGGGGCCCATCATAAGTTCCACTGGCCAAAGATGGTATCTACTAAATGCTACCTGGCATTTTCCTGGAACGCTTGCGTTGTTCCTATAAACAGAGAACTTGGAAAAGGTGTGTACCTTCAATATGTATACAACGCAAGCTTGATTTAACCAGCTATGTCCTGTAACTGTATCATAGAATGAGTTTTCAATTTCTCATACAAGGAAAACACAAAACACAAACTGGGAACCTAATTCCCTGCAGGGAACTTTCTAGAAAGTCACTCATACATTTAATAGCAGGTGTATGACAGATCCAGATACCCTCACTCTATAAATGCTCAGCCAAGAAAGCCTGAACAACCAAAACCTACAACCCAAACTTGAGATTGTGGCAGGGAGGAAATTGTGAAATCCAAACTTGTTAGAGATCTGCTGAACACTCCTGGCTCCCATCTTGAAGCCATGAATCAGAGAATTTGGATTTAGAAGTGCTCTCAGAGATCCAGTCAATCTTTATATGATGAAGAATTCCTTCTACCCCACAGCTGACGAGTGGACATTTGGCCTCAGCTCAAGCCACTGACTCAGAAGGCAGCCCATCCCAGTGTTAAGAATGAGTTTCTTAATGCAATTCAACAACTCAATAGACATTTATTAGGTATGTACTGTGTGCCAGGCATTGTGATGGGTACAGGAAATATAATAACAAAAACAAAACTGCTCATGACCTCAAAGGCCTTGATTTCAATTAGAGGGAGAGAGTAAGAATAGCATGTACATAGAAACGCACAGGCAGAGTCTATACAAAGTAAACAATAAGTAATTGGTGAAGGGGGCCATGCTAAGCCTAAACTTGCTGCCTGCAGCTTGTACCTGTTACTCCTGTTTGGTTGTGGCCATTTAAGTTTTTAGGGAAGCTTAGCTAATAGCAACATCACAAGATGGCATCATCTGTCGTGTAGAGATGAAAGAATGAGTAGGACGGGCGAAGTTTTAAAACTCTAAAAATTACATAAAAAGGAGCCTTTAAAGAAGTTTTATTCTTATACCTAATTGGAAGACAGGCAACATAGTGAATTAGTGTCTATGTAATTAAAAATCTCAAAGCCATTACTAGAGATTACAAAGGACCAAAATAATTACGAATTCAATACTTTATTACAGGTTACAAGAGGTGGTGGTTGCACACGTTATTTGTAATAAATCATAGGCCTAGAAGGGGCCTTGTGGAATCTAGTAGGCAAATGCGTCCCAATTTTTTTGTGTTCCACAGAACACTTGTATGCCTTACATTCCATAGCATGCTTGTATGCTCATAAACATGCAAAACCCAGGGCAGCTATGGAAGAAGAAAAGAAAGGGGAAAACTCATTACGAACAATGGCAGAAGGTAGAATGTGTACCCTGATGCAGACTCAAAAAGCCTGGAGAGGGAGTAAACACATACCAACTGAGAAAATCCTTCATCCTGAGAAATCCTTCATCCTCCTTCCAGAAGCACCAGTCAAGAGAATCACGGGTCAATTTTTAGCTGACAAAACCTGCTCAAGGTGTCAAGGCATCCTACCTGAGAACTTCAGAGTAGCCCTTGGCAGCAGCCACGTGGAGAGCGGTAGCCCCTGAACGAGCCTGTCTCACATCCTCAATTTTGCCACTGTTGAGCCACTGGCGAGCATCCTGCAACATCTGCTGCTCCTCTTCTTTTCTTGACTGCTCCAGATCAACCCCTGCAGAAACCAGCAGAGAGTGAAACACCTAGTTTGGTCTAGGAGGATATTTTCTTTGTCTGGATCCCAAACACAAGCTAAGTCTTCGAGCTTTGAGCTTTTCCATTTTACTCCTAGGTTAGAATGCAAATGACATTTAAACACAATCACACGCACACAAACACACACACACATACACACACCTTGAATCTGGTACAGCGTAAAATGCACTGAACTAGAGTCAAGAGATCTCTTCTATTAAGTAATTGTGTTCTTCAGCAAGTCTCTTCATGTCTCACATTTCTCTGTCGTCACATATAATAGTGGATAAAGTGTTGGAGAGAGTCAAGAGACATCTGGGTAGAATCCCAACTCTGATACTCACTAGTCTTGTGATTAGGGAAAGTATCTTTGCCTTATCTTTCAAATGGAGATAATATCTTACAGGCTTGTTGAGATTCAAATGAAATGATACATACAAAGCAGCTTGCAAACCTCAAAATGGTATGTAATTGAGTTAGTAGTAGTAGTAGTAGTAGTAGTAGTAGTAGTAGTAGTAGTAGTAGTAGTAGTAGTAGTGGTATTACTCCTAAAATCAAAGTGAGACTACATGATCACTAAGATTACTGTTCTAAAAGTTGTGTGTGTGTGCGTGTGTATGTGTACATATATGTGTGAAACAAAAATTCTACATGAAGGAGAATTCATGAAGAGAACATACCATAAGCTATTCATAAGAGGAAAAGAGCCTACAAATCAAATGCCTTATATTTGCAATAATACTTTTCAAGTACTTTTCTATACATGATGTAGTTTTAGCCTCAAAACAGACCTATATGATAGAGATAACAGGGATTATTAGACACATTTGAAAGAGGATGAGACAGACATGGAGAGTCGGGTGACTTTCCAATGTTACACAGCTCATTGGTGACATAGGTAGGCAAGCACTTAGAACCAGGTTTCCCTGAATTGTGGTCTAGTGATCATGCCTCTACAGCACAAGAAATACAATATATTTAGTCTCAATTATAACCTAAAAACTGCAAATGAAAACCAAAAATACACCCTTCTCTAAAGCAATTTCCTAAAAGCAATCCCCATATATAAAGTAGAACACTACTTTGGGTTGTAAAATCTCCAGAGCATATGACTTCTACCCAAATATCATTAGTAAGAAATACAATAGTAACTGCAGTTAAATATGTCCTCCTCCAAAGAAATGCTATCAAACTCCAGAAAATCCATATGCCATTTAAAAATATTGTGGGGACACCTGATTGGTAAATTACTATAAGGTACTCAACTTTATATTACTTGCTGTCACAAAGGCATTCTTCCTTAACACCAGAAAATCCAAAATTCATTCATTCAAATCCAGATACACTCATTCACTCAAATCCAGATACACTGGTCCTGACACCCACCCAGCTTAGTTATACTACTGGTAACCTACAATGCAGCTGAACTTCAGTGGGAGGGGAGAGGTTTGCTGCTGAGATCCTGGATGCTATAAATAATCAAGGGCTCACAGGAGCTCAAACATAACATGAACAAATCATCCCTCAGGTGTTAAGGACTGGGCACATATACTAAGAGTTTGTCTATACTCACATTTGAGACAAGAGAAGGCAAATGTTTCAATCACAGATGGTTTCATAACCCAGAACAGTATCTTCTTCCTCTAGCTTATCTCAGAAAAAAGTACTTATTTTCCAAAACTAACTTCTCAGATTGGGTCCTCCATTTTCATCCTCATCCTTTCTCCCTACCCCAGGGCTTTCTGCCACCCATCCTTGTCTCCATCTTTTGACTCCATGCCTTTTTACTGGCTGCCCCATGCCTGGGATACCCTCCTTCATCTTCTCTGTGCCTGGCTTCCCTGGCTTTCTTAATGTCCCAGCTAAAATCCCATCTTCTACAGGAGTCTTTCCCCATCCCCATCTTTCTGTTGACTATCTCCCATTCATCCTATCTATAGCTTGTCTGTACATAGCTGCAGGTTGTTCCTTGACGGCAGGATTGTCCTTCACCTTTCTTTGTATCCCAACATTTAGCACAGTGCCTGGCACATAGGAGATGCTAAATAATTGTTTACTGACTGACAGTGAGTCAGTTTGCCTACATCAAAGCTGTTCCTTCTACTTTGAATGCTCATCACACAATGTAGGCTCTACCTGCTAAATTCCTACCTAGCCTACAAGATACAGGGGGTAAATGCCAGTTCTCTCAACACATCTCTGATTTGCCCTTGACAGAAGCCATCTCTTCCTCCCTGAACTCCCATAAGACTTTTAAACATTGTACTTTATGTTATAGTTGTATGTATGTGTACATGCATTTGTGCATATGGGAAGATAAATATACACACACACACACACACACATACATATATATATACATATATATACACACACATATACACACATACACACACACAGAGCGCATATCTATGTATATATGTGTGTATGCATGCACACACATTTTTCCTACTAAAAATTGTAAGTTCCATGAGGACAAAGACTCTCTCTCCAGACTTTTCCTTTTTTATTGAGGGCACTATCAACCTCTGAGTCACAGGTTCTTAACACTGGTGTCATTCATCCCTGACTCTTCCCTCTCTCTTCCCATGTCTACCAGCTGCCAAGCCTTGTCAAGTCTACCTCCATGACCTCTCTTGCATCTGTCCACTTCTCCTTAATCACACAGCCTCCACCATAGTTCAGACCTTCACCATCTCTTCCCCAGACTATTACAATAGGTTCCTGAACGGTCTTTTTGCTTCCATCCTCCACATTCATATTCCACAGGCCCAGGCCATACTCTGTCATTCTCTGGTAGCTCCCCATGGCTTCTAAAATAAAGTACAAACTCTCTGGCTGATCATTTAAGACCATCCGCAGGCAGGCTCTACTCTAGCTTTCCAGCCTCATTTCACATCACTCTGCTTGACACACTTGATCTTCCAGCCAAACTAGACGACTTGCTGCCTCCATGCATTGGCACCAGTTGTCCCCCTGGCCTAGAATAATCCTCTTCCTCCCCTCCAACTCTTAGAATCTCTGGCTTCCTTTAAGATGTTGCTTGGGAGCCGCTTCTTCTGGAAAGCCTGGCCTCCTCTTCCACTAGTGGTCAGTGCTCTCCTTCTGTGCATTAGCTGGCGTTCACAACTGTGTATCCTCCCCACAAGATGCACGTTCCCTTAATGAAAGAACTGTTTTTAATCTTTGTTTCTACATCCCCTACTCATAACCTAAGGCTTTGTATGCGATAGGCGGTCCAAAAAATTTATTTTCAGTCTGGACCTAAGATGTACATGTAGGGAAGTTCTCGTTTGGAAACGCCCTCCTCCAATGCTGTCCAGAAACTCATTGTAACTTACAGTGTTAAAGAACTGCCTAGGGCACTGAGAAGTTAAGGTACTTGTCCATGGTCACACAGCTAGCAGGTACTGGGGACAGGACTTGAATCCAGGTCTTCCTAACTTCAGAGCTGGCTATACCAGGCTGCTCCTCAATAACTACTTGTTGAATGAATGAAAAACATATTCCTTTTCATTAAATGAGGCAAAGTATGTCTCAATGGCAAAATTGTGAGTTTGTGCATTAAGACAGGCACAGGGGGCAGCTAGGTGGCACAGCAGATAGAGCACTGGCTCTGGAGTCAGGAGGACCTGAGTTCAAATCTGGCCTCAGACACATAACACTCACCAACTGTGTGACCCTGGGCAAATCACTTAACCCCAACTGCCTCACCAAAAAAAAAAAAAAAAAAGACAGGCACAGAATCAAGTTAGGATACAACTAACGAACAGTAACAGGGTACACTGCTGGCCACAGTTTGGATACAGCGTACTACAAACATGTACCACAAAGAATTAGCAATAGTCCCACCTACACTTCTCAAGGCTATCCATCCCTTTATTGCTTCTACAAAACTTGGTTTACAAAGCTAAATGACTTAGGATTACTATACCTTGAGTAGCTAACGACCTTCAAGATAATCTAGTCCAACCCCCTCATTTTACAGATGAGGACACTGAGGACCAGACAAGTTGAGCGACTTGCCCAAAGTCATACAAGCTCAAGTTCTCCTACCTACACCAAATCCAGTGCTCCTTTTGTCTGCCTACAGCAGAATTATCCCCAGATGCTGGTTTTCCTGAAAATCTAAAATGAGGATGAAGAAGTAAAATTTATTCTCTGTTTCTTCAACCTACTGTCTTATTTTTTTACGTTCCTAAGCAAATTGACCTGACAAGTGTGACTGTTTCAAGATCATTTCAGAGGCTATAAATAAACGGTTTTCCCAGGTTTATTCCAGGCTCTTATCAATGGAAAAAACAGTAAGTCATCCTAACTCGTATCAGTTGGATCTGCCTTACCAAAGAATGAATCAACTTATACAATACAAGGCTTGTATCTAACCTTAAGAAAGGACACAAAGACTGACGCATCTTTGTGGCATTTGGTCTTCTCTTGCCTGAGTTCTTAAGAGGATCCAGGATGTTGGTAATTGGTTGGTAATGCTGTGCAGACAGATTTAGCCTGCCCCCTCCCACTACATATTAATGAAAGGCTCCCATAAGAGGAAGGATCATTTCTAACGTATCTGTGTTCCAGCAGCAGCTGCTGCTTTCTCTCAGGCCTCTCACTAGGAGAGGGCGCTGGACTCCCTAGTCACCCCAATGAGTTACCTTGCTTCTTCACTTGCTCCAGGAGCAGGTCCTTCATTGCTGCCTCTTCTGCAAGGTCAGAGGGGACTTCACCTTCGCTATTCACTGCAGCCACACTGGCTCCATGGTTAATGAAATACCTGCGCAGATGAGACCCAGGAGTAATGTTATCTATGCCAGGCTGGGGTCAATTTACACTCATGCACCAAAGGTTAGAGAAGAGCTTGAAAAACTAACAGAAAAGGTATCTGTTTTGGGATTCCAAACAGGTCTCAAATTAGGTGTTCCATGTTTAACCCTTTGGATCTCTAAGATACTTCAATAAGTAAGGCTCACAGTTTCTTCCCTCTTTCTATGGCAATAAGCAGGACATGCTTCAAAAATACCACTGAGAATGTTAAAAAGAAAGAAAAGAAAGAAAGAAAGAAAGAAAGAAAGAAAGAAAGGAAGAAAGAAAGAAAGAAAGAAAGAAAGAAAGAAAGAAAGAAAGAAAGAAAGAAAGAAAGAAAGAAAGAAAGAAAGAAAGAAAGAAAGAAAGAAACAAACAAAGAAACAAACAAACAAAGAAACAAAGAAAGAAAAATCTCTATATGGATGGATGAGAAGCTTTCTGTAAGGAGTAAAATCACGTTCTCTCCAAATGCAAGTCTCTGAAAAGAAAATCCCTTGCTACATCTTGGAATAATTTTGAGACAAAAGTCAGAAGTGACATACAGCAATGATTTTCACTAAAATTTTGCCAATGACTACATTTGGGGACATAAAATATTTTTGTGGTCTCAAGCATATATATTTATGGTATCTATTCAAATCTGGACACGCATGTGCACACACACTTACACACACACACACACACTCACAAACACAAACACTACCACCACCAGTCATCTACACAGTTCCTTCCTCACTCCAGAAGAGAATTACCATATCAGAGAAATCATTAATATGCTATGGCCTCATATGGACTGTGTGAAGGAAGAATCACGGCAGACGTTTCCTTCCCCCAACTTCCCTGTGCCCCTTCCCTGTGAGGAGATGTCCAGAATTCACAGGATACCTGGACAGGAAGAAGCGCCAAAGGAACACCTCCTCTCAGAAGGGTCTCCCCTCTCCTGAGGCTGCAGACACCCTCCAGGGCAGCCAGGCAAAAGAGCAACACAGCTGTTCATACCACTTAGATGAGCTGGGAGTCACCAGATCACCAGGCCTTATCATCTACCTTGCCGCTCTCCCCTGCAGACCCCTGGGCACTGTCCTGAGACCTTTTGATACATGGTAAAGACCCCTGGGCCTTGCCATGAAACCCAGAACCACCCCCTTAGCCCTTCTAGGCTTTTCAACCCACCCTACAGTTGAGCTATTTTATGTGTTTCGTTTCCCCCAATTAGAGTATGAGCTTCTTGAGAGCAAGGTCTGTCATTTTTTTCTATCTGTATTCCCAGCACTGAGCACGGTGTTTGGCACATAATAAATGCTTTTTCTTTCATTAATATGAATTGTGTAATTCAAAGTCTGTGAGGAATTTAATTAGCCCTTATGAAGAGGCCCAACAATGGTTGGAGTTAGCAGTTTAGTACTTAGAAACATCTGAAAGCAAAAGACTATTCAATTTGGACTATACACCCCTCTTTCCTGGAATAGCACAGTGCCTAGCACATAGAAGGCATTTAATAAGTGTTTGCTAAGTGAATGAGCACACATCCACACACAAATGAACACAGGGGTAGGACTCTGTTGTTTTCTCCTTCAAGGACAGAATACGCATCCAGGCCTAGGATACTAGGGAGTAATCCATACCTGAAGTCCATCAAAGGAAAACACAGTCTCACTTAGCACTGTCCTCCAAAACTATCATTATAAAAGGGGGAAAAAAAGCCCTTTAGCTTCTATTCTCCTTAAGCATAATTAATGTAAGTTTAAGAGTCCTTGCATAGTTTTCATTTGTTCTCCCTAGGATCCTCATTAAGGCACTTGGACATTTAGAAGCACTGGCACATCCTAGTAGCATAATAAATATAGTGAAGGTAGGGGAGTAGAAGGAAAAGAGTATGCGTGAAGGACAGAGAAAAGAAATATAACTGAGGCCAAACCTCTCTTTGTGATTTAATATTACTATCTAGGGTAAAGATAAGAGATGGGAGCACATCATTTAAAATGGATATGAACCTGAAATGGAAAGCACTTGAACACAGAGTGTTCCTGGAAAGAGAAAACAAAATTTTTTCTCACTTTCTTCTCCCTTGAAAATAGAGGCTCACCATAATATTTTTCACTTTATTTTGGGGGGGGGAGGAAGGTTCAAGTTTTCTTCCATAAAATGACCAATATGAAAATGTTTTTATATGATTGTACACGTATAACATATATCAGATTGCTGTCTCAGAGAGTGAGAAGGGGAGAATTTGGAACTCAAAGTTTTTAAAAACAAATGTAGAAATTGTTTTTACTTGTAATTGGGGAGAAAATATTATTTTAAAAAACACCTGAAAATAAAGTATCTTTTCCAAAAAGACTACAAAGTCTATGAAGAACTCAATGAGTAATTAAGGACTGACAAGCTCCCAAAGGGACTATATAATTCTTGGCCTAAAGCTAAAGTACAACTTGTTAGAAAAGCAGTTTTCAATTTTTTGAAAAATATACCCACGTACTATATAAATGGATAATAACAGTGAAATTCAAAGCTTCTCATAAGGGTGAACCTAATGAGAAATGAATTGTAGCATAACCCCACAAAATTATCTAAGTAGGGTTTGTGTGACATCAGCTCATCATAATCAGTTTTACAAAGATCCACTGGCCTCAGGTTTATCCTAGAAATAGGAAATAAGTGATTCAGTTCACACAAGATAATTCTTCAGAGGGGAAAAAAGGACTGATAAGTTTCATACTTATTTCTAAGACATAAGTATGTTTACCCAAAATGTCAAGTAAAAGAAATCACTGTGACTGGCTCATGTAAGATCAAAGGTATGTAACAGGAGATCTAATTTAAAATTATTCTCTGTGCACAGATTCCTAAGGAAAGCAGAAAAAAAGAAGAAAGCCCATGAAGGGCATCAATAGATAAGTTCCTGATTCAGGGCATGTGCTCTACTTGTTACTTCTTCCTTCCGGTTTGCTCCTGGTTCCTCAGCAGCCTGGAGGTACCTCTGCCTCCGTGGCCTCCTCTTCTGATGAGTGAATCCTTGGCCCAGGTGGCCATTTCACAAGTGGCCCAGGCCATCCACATTCATTGTACTCCTGGCTCCACTTCGGAGTCCCTGGACTTTTCCACCTGATCCCTGGCAGCCTTCCCCAATTGCTTATCATTCCCTGCCCACTGCTCTCCCCTTCCAACTCACTTTTTCTCCCATTAGAAAGTGAAGTCCTTGCATGCAGGGGTTGTCTTTTCTGCTTATATTTGTATCCTCAGCATTTAATATAGTGTCTGGAGAAGTATTTAATCTATGCTCTACATATCCATCTATCTACTAAAAGGAAAAAAAAAGGTGGCTAAATTTAACGAGATTCTGTAGCTCAAAAATCATGGATGTAGTCACTGACCAAAACTGAAATGCCAGTATTAAGGAAGTTATATTTTCCACAAATTAATGACATTTTTACTAAAAGCAACCACCAAGAGGAAATTACCTTAACTCTTGGGCACCAAAAGTTAGCATACTTGAGCACACTAAAGATTCAGAGCCATCTTCGTGAGACTCTGAAGACAGAGTGGTCTAACTGATGAAGAGGTTGCCAACTTTCACAAAACTGAAACAAAGGGAGGGACCCAAGAGTGAATAAAACTATACTGTTCATTTCTGTTTGCTTTGGTGACAGTCCAGGCTGCTTTTCAGAAAAAGCAGCCCAGCCAAACACCAATGCCACAGCTCAACGTTTTGCTGCCTAACTCTTCTTCTGTTCAACTTCTCCACAAAGTATCACAATAACCCTGTGGAGCTCAGGGGTGACCCCAATGCCATAGGACCTACAAGATAAACCTAAGACGATCAGATTCTGGGGAAAGGCAGTTCCCTGGCCTCCACACAGTTGTCAGAGCACTCTCACTGCTTGTTTGTGGAACAAGAGAGGTGCAATGAAACTCTAAGCATGTTATGAGGAACTTCCAATAAACAAGCTTACTTTAAACAGCCTTAATATTCCAATCCTCTTTTCATTACAAAACATACCTGATCATATCTGAATTTACACTCATCTAAGATATACTCCAAACATCTTATTTGGAAGGTGAGTTTCAACTACCAGTCTTTCTCCTTCTAAAACAAAAACTACTCTTGTGGTGATGCCTCCTTGCCTCAGGGAAGACAGGTGGATATCTCAGAAGTTAAGTCTTTGCTTGTGCTTTACGAAACATAATTACATGACTAACATGGAAAATACCTGTTACTGCCTTGTTCTTTGCTCACTATGTTTAGGCTTTTTCCTTCAATACTGACAAAAGATGCTTTTGTGATATTTAGGCAGCTGTCCTTCCATCTTCAGGCCTACCTCTTTTGCTTTAAAACAATTATTCAAGCTTATCTCCATGAAGTCCTACTCTGAGGCCTCATGGTGGGGTAGAGGTGTCCCTGGGTTCTTGACAATTACTCCAGCAGCAGCTCTTTCCTTGCTAGAAAGGCTCCAAGTACTGTCCAAGCAAAATACTGTATCTGCTTTCCAAGGACCAGCCTAAGTACAGGGAGGCCATATCACCAAGATAAAGAGCCAAGGTGGTCACTTGGTGATGACTTTTGGGGGGCCAGGGCAACCCATGAAACAAAAAAATACAAAATGATTAGCTCTGCCTAACTCCCTTCTACTTCTGTAGTTAAGAGCTGCAGAAAAGGAAGCAGGCAATTCCAAGAATCACAGCTTTTATACTATCTGTAAACATTAACTTTGCTCTTCGTACGCTAACTATGAGATCCTTGTTCAATAACCGAAGGGTGGACACAGTACAAGTGGAAAGGAATCCTATCCAGAAAACAGAAGTGAATTGCAGCTAAATAAAAGGCTGGGTCACAAATCTTCCTGGGAGAGGTAAATAAAGTCCCCGGTTTTATTGTATATCCAGAAGCGACAAGAAAAACATTTTGTGGGACATCTGATCATCTCATTATCACAGTGCTCATGGTAAGTATTTGCAAAAATATCACCATAAAAGTAGCTGTGTTTAAGCACCAACATTGGCTGTAGGAGAAATTCTACTAAAACTCAACAAGACCCTTCAAATTAAATCAACATATACTTTGATACATAATAACTTCAAGGCAAAGGTTAAGAATTGCTGAAAGTGGAGGGTTAAGAAACAGAAGAGGCCAAAAGCTTTTATACTATATAGAATCCTCATTGTTAAACATCTTATCAATAAGTGAGACAGAACGTTCTGCCTGTCATGAGCGTCATGCAATATCACAAAAAAAGAAATTGATTATATTTTAACTAGCACAAAATGACTCATTACTAATGTGGGAGTTATTCCTGAATCAACTGTCTGTGTATAGTCAGACCACTGTGACTTGTTAGAACTAAGACCAAAATTAATTGAAGCAAGAAGAACAAAAACAAGAAAATGCTATAGTATTTAACTCCAACTTGCTACTTAAACAACTTGTTGATGCTAAAAAACAGAAAATTGATGTAAGAAAGAAAATCAATGCTGATTAATGCTATTTTATAGTGCATTTTACCCATCAGAGGCTGTTAGGTGGCATGGTGGATAGAGCACTAAACAGATTCAAGAAGACCTAAGTTCAAATCTGGCCTCTGACACTTATTAACAGTGTAACTCTCTGGACAAAGTCCCTTAACCTTTGCCAGCCTCAGTTTTCTCACCTGTATAATGTCTAATAATAGCACCTACCTCTCATAGTTGTTATGAAGACAAAATGAGATAATATTTTTGAAAATGCTTTGCAATCCTTAAAGTGCTATGAAAATGCTTGCTATTCATTACTATAACAAGGAGATTAAAAGAACCTAGAAGCCAACTCTGCCAGCAAAAACTTTATTCACTTACCAAGTGGATGATATGGAAGTCATGGTCAACACTGGTTTAGAACACAAACTAGTTTGTAAAATTTTATAGTGGATGGTGAAAAATCATAAGTAGCTGCTTATATTTAAGTCTCATAAAACATACACACAAAAAAAGTAGAAGGAACAGCAAGCTGAGAGAGAGCACAACAGGAATCATAACAAACCAAGCCCTCCCCAGGACACTGAAGGACAAAACCAGGAGGGACCACAGAATAAAGCAGCTGAGAAGGCCGTCAACAAACTCTTCTGCATTGAGGCCAGTGGAGCCACCACATCTGGGTACAGAGGAACAATCCCAGGACTGTGGTTTTTGTGCTTCCTCCGTGGGCTCCGTACTAGATTTAACACAGTTTTGAAGTAACTGAGGGACTGATTCTTAAGGTATCTGAAGGGAAGATACCAAAGGTATGGCAGAAATCTTAGCCCTTAGTATTATTTTTTTTAAAGGTGACCAAGGAACCATTGGTAATTATCAACCCATTGCTACTTTCCTAGCTATTTAAAATTTTTATGAAAATAATCCACACATGGATTATTACAAGGACATCTTTAATGGGGGCATTAGATGAGAATATACAATCTTTCACAAGTGATATTCCACCTTCAACCATGACACAAATAATCAGGCTGAATGACACTGTATTTGTCTGTTTACTATTAAAAAAAACCAGTTCAATGTGGTACAGCACAATACCATCTTAATCATTCTCCTCCAAAAAGGTGTCTCCCATGCATATATCAAAACCACAGGTTACTCACTGAGCAACAGATATTCAACTTCTGATCATTAATATTAAAGAATAAGACAGAGAGACATGCTTACTAACTGCCAGACTCAATCCAGCACACATACATTGGATGAGGAATTTCTGAAAGATGGTGAGATTCTGCTGGTTACTTATGGATTTCATTACACTGATTATATGATGCCCCAGAAACCAAAACAAGACCGATAATCACTCTAAAGAGTTTGTCCTTACTATCCACATATGGAAAACTAAGTGGACGTCCAAAGACTTCTTAGTGTTTAATCTGCAATATGTAATTGAATGGAAAACTAGAGTGCTCATCTCTCAGTATATGTAGATTGAACCAATGCTGCAAATGGACAAAGAAATGGGTCCAGAATACAATAGAATGAGTAGAGCAGACTGAATTGCCTTTGGGAAATTAGAAAGTTCCCTAAAGGACCCCAAGTTTCTCCCTTAAATAAAGGCTCAGTATTTTTCTTTTTTTCTTTTTCTATTTTTCTGTTTTTATATGACTAAAAGCCATAGAATATTACGTTCTCCAAAAAACTGAAATTGAAGTGTATTCAAAGTTCAACAACCTAGCTGCACAGTGGAGGTAAGCAGCCTGCAACACATTACAAATAATGAATTATGGAGGAGCAGTATAAAGGACAAAGAAAGACATGTACCAAAAAAAGGAGATGATCCAGTGGTCACATGATAAAAGCAAGAGATTACCAATGGACAATCCATGTTCTCCATTGGTATTCTCATAACATTAGGAGAGATCAAGGCAGTGTTTCAAGATACTGGGGGGACCACCTCTGGTGAACTGATGAGAAGATGTGGATGAGAGTTTCTCAGGAAGGTTTAAGACCTGAATCACTAAAGGGAACGAGTACATCAAATGTGATCACAGATACATCTGAGTATTTGAATATACTGGTTCAAACAAATCTCTGGGTCTACTGATGTTTGTATCTGCCTGTAAATGTTAACAAAGTGAATCCAGACAGAGAACAGAGAGAACTTGTATCTTTGTAACCAAAAACATCAGATCAAATTCCAGATAAATTGGAATAAATAAAAATTAATTGTGAAACTACTCCTATCACTTAGCCTTGTATCTAACATCAAGTGGCAACTAGGATGGTTGGGAATCAAACTGGCAAAAATGACAAAAGATAGAAAATGTCAGTGTTGAAGTGGCTGTAGAGAGACAAGTATAGTCATATATTGTTGGTAGAATGGACTTAATATAACCATTATCAAATGTAAGTTGGAGTTATATAAAAAAAAATCTTAAATATCCATACCCTTTGACCCAGAGGTTCTCTTGCTAGGTATATACCCCAAGAAAGACAATGGCAAAAAGAAAGTCTCCAAAGACTCATATGAACTGATGCTGACTGAAGTGAGCAGAACCAGGAGAACACTGTATACAGTAACAGCCACACTGTGTGATGACTGACTTTGACAGATCTATTTCTTCTTAGCAATACAAGGATCTAAAACAACTCCAAAAGACTCATGATGGAAAATACCACCCACATCCAGAAAAAGAACGACAGTCTTAACGCAGATCGAAGCATATTATTATTTTTTTTTGTTTCTTCTTTCTCATGGTTTTTCCCATTGGTTCAAATTCTTCTTTATAACATGACTAATGTGAAAATAGGTTTAATATAGATGTATATCAATTTACATGCCATCTTGGGGTAGGAGAAGGGGAGAGAGGGGGAAAAAATTTGGAACTCAAAATCTTACAGAAGTGAATGCTGAAAACTAAAAATAAATAAATTTATAAGGAAGGAAGGAAGGAAGGAAGGAAGGAAGGAAGGAAGGAAGGAAGGGAGGGAGGGAGGGAGGGAGGGAGGGAGAGGGGGAGGGGGAGGGGGAGGGGGAGAGGGAGAGGGAGAGGGAGAGAGAGAAGAGAGAGAGAGAGAGAGAGAGAGAGAGAGAAAGAAAGAGAGAAAGAAAGAAAGAAAGAAAGAAAGAAAGAAAGAAAGAAAGAAAGAAAGAAAGAAAGAAAGAAAGAAAGAAAGAAAGAAAGAAAGAAAGTCTTAATACACTCCAAAATATTTTTGGCAGCACTTTTTTGGTGGTAGCCAGCCACAAGAAACAAAGTAAATGCTCATAACATAGAGGGAAATTCAAGGAGAAACACAGATGAGCAGGACAGCTTTGAAAGTAATGTGCTAAATTTATTATAAACTTTTTTTTTGAAGCAAGCACGTAATAAAGATTTGTGGTTTCATGAATCCTCTTTTTCTGTTCTGCTCTATATATGGAAATATCTCTTGGTGTTCGTTAAATTCAGAACAAGTTAGATACCCATTACTTGGGGAACAGCTAAACAAAATGTGGTATAAGAATGTAAAAAAAATACTGTGCTATAAGAAATGACAAATTAATGCAGAGAGGCATGAGAAGACTTATTGCACAGAGGTGAAGTGAGGTAAACAGAACAAGAAAAACAATATAAATGCAATGACTACAGCAATGTAAATGGAAAGAACAAAAATAATTGAAACTGAATGTTTAAGAAGAAGAAAATAAAAATGAAATAATGTTTTATGAATAGTAGTGGTAATAATAATAATAGCTATCATTTATATAACTCTTTAAGGTTTGCAAAGCATTTTACAAATATTACCTCATTTATGCTTACAACAACCCTGGGACATAGGTGTAATCATTATCCCCTTTTTGCAGTTGAGGAAACTGAGGGAGACAGAGGTTAAGTGACATGTGCAGCATCATAACCTTAGTGTATAAGGCTGGATTTGAATGCAGGTCTCCCTGTCTTCAGGTCCAGATCTCCAAGCACTGTGAAATTCAGCTGACCTAGCTGTAGTAAAGTTGTAATAATGATGATCCCAAAGAAGAGATTTGTGAAAACACCTCTCCCTAGTCCTTTACAAAAGTTAGGGGTCTATAGGAGTGAAATGCTGTATATAATGTCAGATTTTCCCATATTTTAGAACATGTAAAATGGCTCTCTAGAAGAGATGAGGAGGAAGGATAAATAGGAATACAAGGGGAAATATAAGTGATGTAAAAACAAAAGACAGCAATAAAATCTAGTTTTAATGGGGGAAATATGTCAAATGAAAAACCATGAAATCATTAGCAGTCTCTAGATTTAGCATGAATCATTCTTTTTTGCCTTTGTTATTTATGATTTATAATGGTTAAGTCCATTAATGATTCTAAAGTTCTGGAGCAGGAGCAGAAGAAGAAAGAGATAATACATACTACTGCAAAGAACCAGGACCCATTGAAACTCACTCACTCTGCTATGTTAAGATAGCCACAGGAAGCTGCTGCGTGAAGAGGAGTCCAGCCCTCATTGTCCTGCTGGTTTACATTGGCTCTGTTCTCCACTAGGAACTTCACCATGTCCAAGTTTTCATCAATACAGGCCTGAAAAGAGGTCAAAAAGCCAAAAAATCAGTTTGGTTTCTAAATATTCCTAGAGACACTAAAACTCCCCTCCCCCTCTCCCTTTTCTAGTTTCTGTCTCCCTCTTGCTCCTCGGGTGCTACCAATCTAACCCACTCCCACTCCATTTCTAAGGAGGAGCACATCACCTTGCACTTCAGATTCCTCCAAAGGCCCATGTAAATTCTGGTAAGTATGAAATCATATTTATAGATAAAAATAATCTGTATTCCAGAAAACTTAGAGTTAGTAATAATGATAGTAACTGATATTAGTAGCACTTCAAGATTTACAGAGCAGTTTAAAAACATTATCTCATTTGACTTCCACAATAATCCTGTGAGATACTACATATATTATTATCCCCATTTTATAAATTTAAAAACTGAGTCTCAGAGAGGTTAAGTGATTTACTTGCCCTTAGTCACAGTTAAAGTGTTATTTACATCCAACTCATCTCAAACTCTTTCTCCCAATCTGTGCTTCCTCCAGCAAAACACAAAATGAAAAACTTCCAAATTCAATCATAAAGAATCAATAATAATAGCTGTCCTATAAGAGGTACAGAATCACTCAGTATTGACTTCTACCAAGGTAAAATGCAACTTAATTCCAACATCCAGTTCAACCCAACATGCCTTAGCACCCACTCCATGCAAGGCTTTTTATATGCGAACAAACCAGGAATCACCGGGAGATTGAGGGGGCAGGGTGGGGGGCAATTATGGTCCCTTTTGGTTTTGTACTTGAGGCCATTTTCTCTGTGTGGGATGAATGTGGGGGTGGGGTGGGAAGGATCAGGCTATAAATTCCCACCTGTTCCAGGAATTAAGCCACAGCAATGTGATTCAACTAGAGACATAAAATTTGAGAAAGGGTTAACTGCAGAACTCAGGAAGACTGATCTTATCATCTTCAGGGCTCTGGGTTGAGAGGAAACATGGTAGAGTGGTTATAGTATTGGCCTTGAAGTTAGGAGAACTGGGCTTCAAATCCCGCCTTAGACACTAACTAGGTAAATCATATGAATTCTAAGCCTCAGATGATTACAGCTCTTACCTCAAAGGGTGTTGTGAGGATCAAACGAAATAATGTATCTAAAAAGTGCTTTGCAGAACTTAAAGCACTATAAAAATATGCTAGTATGATTATTATTAATCCTAACTCTACCACTAACTAGCTGTGTAACTTTAAACAAGTTGTTTAATCTCTCTGTCCCTCAGTTTCTCATTTATAAAGTAGGATCATACCATGTGCTCATCTTTTCAGAGTTGATGTGGAAATTACATGAGATGAGAGGTGTGAAAAAGGTTTTGAAATTTTTCAAGTGCTATGCACACTCATGGTATTGTTGTTGTCCCAAAAACTATAGGATATTGAAAGCTGGGCTCTGATTTATCTGATTTTTTTTTCAACAAAATACACAAGGAATATTGTCAAATCTATAAGAATACGAGTCATTCCCCAAATGATAAATGTTCAAAAGATATGAACAGGCAGTTTTTCAATGAAGAAATTAAAACTATATATAGATATGAAAAAAATGCTCTAAGTCTATTGATTAGAGAAATGCAAATTAAAATAACTTTCAGATATCATCTTACATCTATCAGATTGGCTAAAATGATAAAAGCGGAAAACAAAAATACTGGAGGGGATATGGAAAAATTGGGACACTAATTCACTGTTGGTGGAACTGTGAATTGACCCAACCATTTTGGAGAGCAATCTGGAATTACACCCAAAGAGTTATAAAACTGTGTATACCCTTTGACCCAGAAATATCACTACTAGGTTTGTTTCCCAAGATGATTAAGGAAAAAAGAAAAGAAATTTGTATGGTCTAAAATATTTATAGCAGCTCTCTTTGTTGTGGCAAAAACCTGGAAATTGAGAAGGTGACCTTCAACTGGGGAATAGACAAACAAGTTGTGGTATAAGGTTGTGATGGAAAACTAGTGTGCTGTAAGAAATGATGAGCTCGTTGATTTTATAAAAACATAGAAAGACTTACATGAAATAATGAAGAGTGAAATGAGCAGAACCAAGAGAACATTGTATACAATAACAGAAATATTGTTTCAAATATTCAAATCAAAGAACAACTTCGAAATTCTAATTTATTTTGATTATCATAAATACTCAAATCAACTACAAAGTGTCTATGGAGGAAGATGCTATTCCCCTCCAAAGAAATAACTGATAAATAGAAATATGTACAGCATGGTTTTATATACATATGTGTGTGTGTGTGTGTGTGTGTGTGTGTATGTACGTATTCATGTGTCTGATGATAGCCTTCTCTAAGGTGAGGTGGGGAGGGAGGGAGGGAGGAAAAAGTATATAGTATAGAACAAAAGAAAACTTAGAAGAAGCACAGAAAAGCAGGACAGCTTTGAAAATTACGTGTTGTACTTATTACATAGTTTTTCAAAAAAAGGAAACAGTGTGAAATGGAAATTCATGATTTTATATTGAATCTTCTTTTGCTGTGCTATACATGGAAATGTTCTCTTTTTGTCTTTTTGTATTTAAGTTCAAAATGATGAGTAAGGAAGGAAGGAAGGAAGGAAGAAAGAAAGAAAGAAAGAAAGAAAGAAAGAAAGAAAGAAAGAAAGAAAGAAAGAAAGAAAGAAAGAAAGAAAGAAAGAAAGAATACATAAGGGACCAAATACAGATTTCCTCAGTAGAAAGTTTCAGTTATAAAAACCAGATGCCATCCAAGCAACCATTGCTAAGTTCAAATGGGGGAGATCATGTGAAGAAAAAATACTTTAAGGATGCCCTGAAACATGATCTCAAATGATGCAACCAAAGATCTTGGTAGTCATGGATGACTATGAAAATCTGTCAAACTGCAATCCCACACAGATTTTCTAAATTTTCTAAATAATGGTTCTAGGTCACCCATATGCCAAAGCCACAAGGAATACAATCTGAAGACAGAATATCCATGGCTTCAAAGAAGGACAGAATAGGGGGAAAAAAAAAACAACCATGGTTAGAAAATTTGCACTGATCCTTTCAGTGATGAGTGCACACTTGGGATCCACCATCATGAGTCATGGCACACACAGTTATGTCATTTTGAAATATAGGTAAATACATATACATACATATATACATACATACATACATACATAATACATATATGGAGAAAGAAGGAAGAAGAAGACAGAAAGGAAGGAGAAGGGAAAGATAGAAGGAAAGGAGAGGAGATGGAGAGGAGAGGAGAGAGAAGGTGAGGGCAGAGACAGAGTTTTCCTCTGAAAAATCTACCCAGATGTAGATAATGACGTCTAAGCATAGAATCAGGGGTGGGGAACCTGTGGCCTCAAGGCATATGTGGCCCTTAGGTTCTCAAGTGCAACCCCTTCACTGAATCCAAACTTCACAGAACAAATCCCCCTTAATAAAAAGATTTGTTCTGTAAAACTTAGACTCAGTCAAAAGACTGCACCCAAGGACTTAGAAGGCCACAGGTTCCCCACCTCTGGCTTAGACAGTTCTCCAATGACTGGGGAAATCAGTCTCCTAGAAACAAGTGTTGTCTCTCCTTACCTCGCTATCTTATTTTTCCATTTTCTAAGAAATGCTAAAATATATGTGTGTATATGCATATATGTGTGTATATATATATATATATATGTATGTATGTATGTTTGTGTTGTGTGTGTATATATATACACATATACACATATATATATATATATATATATATATATATATATATATATATATGAGAGACAGAGAGAGAGAGAGAGAGAAAACGCACTGAGGAAAGCACTGGTTAATCTGGAAAGAAGAATGTCTGAATACATCTCAAGCATCCCAAAGAATATTATAGCCATGATTAGCAAATGCTCTCTTCCCCATTCCCCTCTCAGAAAAAATAGATTAAAAAGCCAAAAATGTCTTCATTCCTCTGCAAGCTGTACAACTGTCTCTCCCGACTTTCTCTACCATGCCACTCTACCCTGGAAGCTCATTCTATCCCTGCACTTCACACACTAGAAGTATCCTACCTTGTGGCCTCTCTCTGATTGGCTGGTCCCTCCTGGAATGTCCATTTTCAGAAAAATGTCCAGGCCAATTATGTCTTCATTTCTCTCCAGGCTGAACACCCAACTCTCCCAGACTTTTTCTACAATGTCCCAGTGCCAGGTACCCTCATCTCTTCCTCCAACTTCAGTTTCCTTTTATGTGTTGTCTTCCTCTGTTAGAATGTAAGCTCCTTGAGGTCAGAAACTGTCTTTCTTTCTGCCTGTATATATATATATATATATATATATATATATATATATATATATATATATATATATATATATATATATATCCCAGTGCTCAGCCCAGTGCCTGGCAGATAGTAGGTGCTGAATAAATGGTTTTTGATTTTAAAAAAATACCACAGAAGGGATTCATCTTAGCCCTCCAACAGACCTTCTTGACCAAAGGAGTTCAAAGACAGAAAGGACATAATGGTATAATAGGGATTTCTGGAAGTTCCATCTTGGGACAGCTTAGTGCAACTACTTCCTGGAAACAGGAATGATGAATCTTTAGTAAAGATCAGAGCTAAATCAAGAACCACAAACCACAAAAGCATCTGTAACAAATGGATTAGAGAATAGTCAGCATTCACTTTTACTCATTACTGAAAAGAGTGAAAGTCCTTTCACTAGCAACTGTGCACTTGGTCCAATACCGGCCTTCAGTATTAACCAATCCATTTTCAGTGATTTCTCATAGCCAAGATGCATATCTTGTTCTCTTTCAAATAACTGCCAAAACTCCAATTCCTTCATGAAAGTTTCTTAGAGGATTAATCAACTCCCTTTCACCCTCTCCATCCAAATATGTCACTCACTCCAAAAAACACCTCTAACTCTCCCAAAGGGCATCCATCCTTTACTTTTCTGCAACATAAACATTTCTTTTCATTTAATGTATGCTTCTTATTATTCACTTGTTATTCAACTGCC